TATCTCGACAAATGCTCACTGGATTCACACAAAACAAACACCATTCGATAGCTCTACGTTATATCCATTATAATATGAGAGTTTTAAGTACCAGATGTACGTTCCCTTCATAAATTTGCTCAAAATCATATATTTTATGAGCTACAAGCAGGGGATATCCAACTTTTTTTTTTATTTATCTATAATAACCATACCATCGTATAGAGAATTGAAAAAGAAACAGAAACTATTAAGTTTGGAGCTCTGGTTTACTTGGTAAAATTCAGAGATATGGCCCTTTGAAAATCGGTCATTTTGAACATTTTTCGTCATTACTCATTGACATCGCCCTCAATAATCCCACATCAAACATGCTTTACTCAATCAACGTACCCTCTACAGCTTTTACTACACATACATCTCACATTCATATAGTAATTTAGAAAGTTTTACTAGCAGCATCTATTCAAAATGAACTATTTTCTAAAATCTACCTTTTCTTAACAACCATGCTACCTATGCAAATTTCAATTGCACCATCGTTTAGACGGCAAGAAACTGGTATAGAAACATGCTAGTTTCAAGGCTCTAACATCAATATTTAGAAAATCGATTTTCGATCGTCCAAAAGTTGAAAACCTCAAAATCAAAAAACATTTTGTACATCCAGGTCCTCATAGGTAAAAAAAAATTAGAATCTCATCAAACTTAAATATGTTGTAGAATAATGATATTGGAGCAAGTTCTTAGTGGGAACATTATATTGGAAATGCATACTTCATGAGATAATCAACATTGGAGATGCTATTTTTAAGCGGGGGAATATGCATGCTTTAAATTGCAAGTCTTATTATAATCGAACAAAGCAAGCTACAACTATCTAACCTTAAAAGCAAAATTCTCCATCATGTCAAGTATCTATTGATAACTTGAAACCAGCAAGTTAATATGGCCCTTTTCGTACGCTCCGATTCTTAAAATACTCGGTCAAATTCATACATGTGTCGTGTACACATGCCAAGGCTAAACGGAGCTTCAATTTCTGTTGTTCTGAATGATGATCCATAGGATTCCAAAATCTATCGACCTTCAAATCACGCGTTTCTTGATAGTAACCACCCTTTCAAACTTATATGAAACTTGTAGAGAATTACAAGGAAAATACAATGGTATTCATATCAGGTCTCTGGTGTACATTGTTCACCTGATATTTGGTACGATTGTTTTTGCGATTTTTTGGCTGTTTTCTAAAGATTAATCACTCTCTGTCATCAAAACATTTTGTTAATCATTACTAAACATTGTAGATCAAAAAATTTCCTATCGAATGAGCTATTGCTTGAAGCTCTAGCATGCTTCTATTGTGAATTATTGAAAATATTGTCCTGACCAAAAAATCGTCACCAGATTTTTTGCTTGCTATCACACGTAGATTTTGAACAAAAGTTCATGATTTTGCATGATACCCCTTTTTGACCATATCTCGACAAATGCTCACTGGATTCACACAAAACAAACACCATTCGATAGCTCTACGTTATATCCATTATAATATGAGAGTTTTAAGTACCAGATGTACGTTCCCTTCATAAATTTGCTCAAAATCATATATTTTATGAGCTACAAGCAGGGGATATCCAACTTTTTTTTTTATTTATCTATAATAACCATACCATCGTATAGAGAATTGAAAAAGAAACAGAAACTATTAAGTTTGGAGCTCTGGTTTACTTGGTAAAATTCAGAGATATGGCCCTTTGAAAATCGGTCATTTTGAACATTTTTCGTCATTACTCATTGACATCGCCCTCAATAATCCCACATCAAACATGCTTTACTCAATCAACGTACCCTCTACAGCTTTTACTACACATACATCTCACATTCATATAGTAATTTAGAAAGTTTTACTAGCAGCATCTATTCAAAATGAACTATTTTCTAAAATCTACCTTTTCTTAACAACCATGCTACCTATGCAAATTTCAATTGCACCATCGTTTAGACGGCAAGAGCGGGGTCTCAAATAGACCAAAAACTCCGAAGTCGGTGTTTGAAATTTATTTGGCCGATGTTGGTCTATTAACTTTTGTTTTTACAGTGTTATAACTAATGTGGTTGTAATGAAATAGCCACCCAAATGCAACTTAATTGAAAACCAAAGTTCATCAAATAGCACTCATTCAAATTCATGCTATTTGGATCTATTAATGAAAGCGCTCAAATGTACATCAAAAACCCATTTAAAAATACTAAAGTAAAGATACACGCTTATATCGCACATCGTGTGAATGAATCACTCCTGATCACAGTGTATTCAATCACACCCATGATGGTCGTAATAGGTGATGGTATCTTTATCCAAATAGAATTAAATCAATAACAAGCATATTCAAATATGACAACTATGCCCTGCTGCCATAGTTGCACAATATCCCAGATAAAGGATTCCATGCTTCAATAACAAACATCACACTTTAAACCATCAAGGTTACGTTAAATCATGCTATGACGATAGCTTACCCAAGCCCATCAAGGTTACTCAAATCGACCCTTATGACCAGTGCTCCTGCATTGATTACCACTTTAAATCAAACATCAACAACATTTGCCAGATATCGCAATAGCAGCACCTATTGCTCTCTATCATCACTAATCCTACAAGCCAGATGCAAATGTATAAATACTCTTCTTTTTTTTACTCAATTCCAGGATCTTCAGTTCATTTTATACACAAAATAAAATACAGTTGATTTCTATTGTATTTTACCTTTGCTTTATTTTTTTTTGTGAAATCCATTAAACCTGATTTCACTGCAGTGGTGCTAGTATTATTATGGCTTCACACTGTAGTACTTTGGCTACTTCTGAAACGTGTGGTTATCTTATGCCAATTATAACTGTCAACCTAATTAACTATTAGCATAACGAAAGGTATATGTGCATTCTACATAAAAATGAAGTTTTGTAGCGGGCAGACTTAATTCTTTATTGTATGTTGACATTACACCTAATTTTAATAAATATATCTGCTGCAAAAAATCTTGTTGTAAGGTATCAAAACTTTGGCGAAATTTGCTATCTTATAGGCAGAAGAATATTGGTATTTAGCCTGAATTTAGTTTGATTCAAATATCCTGCTGACATATGCCTTAGTATTGTCTTTAGAATAGCTTGCGTTATGAAGCAAAAAACATTTCTTTTTTTAATGATTTGCTTATCGACTGACGTTTTGCTGGTATGATTATGCAATACTATATATTAACAATAATAGATTAAAGTGGGGATCATTTATCAGCTGCAATTGCTTACATACTTTACGAGTATGCTGTATGTAGTAGTAGCGTACTTATCTAATAATGACTAGTGATGATGAATTATTGTCCTATAATATTCGCAAGAAATTCAGGCTCCCATGTTGAGAAATGAAGTTCCAATTTCTACCTATTTGGTCAAATCAAAAGACAGTGATAAAGTAAAATACGGGCATTAGAGATCATTTACTTGTCTACTATATTAATGAAATCTTGAGCAAATTCACCCAAAAAACTACTGCATCCAGAAAATAACCTTGAACCCCTCAACCAAGTTCCGGATAAATAGCCTGATTTCCAAACAGAACGCTTATAGAACAGAAATTTCATATTGTATTTACAACTATCGCACAAGAAAGAGAAATGCCCAAATATTCAAACCAAAACCCAATGGAAATCTAAGCCTAGTAGCTCTCCGTAAAATATAGTTTCGATCGATGCCTAGCTGTAGCATTATATGAAAAACGGTGCGCGAAAATCGAGATTAGCTTCCTCAAGTGAATTAGGATTAACTTATCTTAAGACCCTCTAAAATGCACTTTCAAGGAACTTTATTGAGGTCATCACTCAAATGTCGATTTTGCAGTCAGTAGAGCTGCTTCAATAATGGCCATTATATAAGTCAAATGAGCATAATAGCCCTAAACTTAAGTTAAGTTTTGCAAAAGCAAACTAAAAACAGATGAATAGAAGACAAAAAAAATCAATGAATATTGAGGAAAGCCGCCTTTATAGAAAGCTCCCTCATCAACTGTTGTGCGTAAATTAGTTATGCGATGGTCTTGTACTCCAAAGAGAATGTCTATTCTCCAAGCCTAAACCCCAAAAGTCTATTGACAAGGAATTTTCCTGATTCTGGGACATATGATCAAGTAATAACTCGAGGAACATGTGGAGTATTATATTTGAAATCATAGACAACGACCGGATGTTAATCTCTCTCCAGAAGGTATTGGAATGGCATAAATAAGCGTCGTTCTCTAGATGAGTGATAGTATGGAAACTGGATAACACCATATGTACCAAATGTCCTTGGATACATTGGTTCTGTGAATGCCATATGATGATCATGTACAAGCATTTGCTATGAATAGCTTTATATTGCCAAATTTAGATAATTTTCAATTTCTTAGTATAGACTTCACTGCTCCAAACGTATTGCATGTAAATTATAAATTAAGCCCTTTTCGGAAACGAGATAAACCTTTTCCGAAATGAATTTCATCCAGATTTCCCTGCATGAAAAAGCCATGCCAAGCAGGACGGCTCAATAAATAGATAGAGTTGATCAACCGCTCATGATTGTAAACAACAAAAACCTTGCTATATTAAAGCATTATATCAAGACAACAGATTTGTTATGTGACGCCATCGAACAACATGGTAATAGATTACGCCCCCCTCTCTTTTCCTTCCGGATTCTCGGTGAGCAACGCTTGTTAAATAAAAGCAACTGCCAGCAGACTCCAAATTTAGATCCAAACTGCCATGATTGGTGAATCTAGGAAAACATAGTTTGAACCGGAATCGAAAAAGGGTCTATAGTAACATCAATGTTGTGCCAAAATACCTGAGACATTTTTTTCTTCTAAAAAATATTTTCTTTTTAATTTTTTAAATCCTTTAATTCCTGTCTGGATCCTTTCTTCTTCTTCCGTAACTCTCTCTTTTTTCTTCTTTTTTTTTTTTCAACATTCACAAAAGAAAATGCACTTGGGATTATTGTCACAAGAGAGATTGTCGTTTGATCCAATCAAGCCCTTGATTCTGCGAGGACCACCATCCGAAAATGCTTCTTCAGTCTTCACCGGAAATGTTGTGCTTTCTCTTGCAAAGACCACAAAAATATCAAGCATTGCTGTCACCTTTAAATCAACGGCAACCACATATTGGCCCGAAGGTAAGATCATGCCACCTTGATTTCTCTGCTGCAACAAACAAACAAACAAACGCATTGATTTACAGGCATTGGTGCACGTGGAACCCGATTGACACATGAAAAGGTCCTCAGCGAAGAAAGTGTACAGATTCTCGAACTGAAAAAGAACGAATTTATCAAACTACCGTCCGGCATTCACCGTTTTCCGTTTGCATTCATCGTCCCCAATGTAAGTTTCCTATTTCGAGAAAGAGGTAGTGTTGTGCTGAAATCCTTCCATGATAGTCTATTGTTGAAACAATTGAGGATGTATATGGCCGAGTTCGTCATGTTGTGGATGCAAGAGTGGTTGGGCCTGGAATTCAGCTATTGAACAACTGGCACATTTCAAAGCCTGTTCTTGTATTACGTGCTTATATGTCAGATTCGCTATTGACCAACAATTCATTGCAAGATCTATCCCGTACTTATGAAAAACATTTACCCGCCGCTGATGTGCAGTTAGTGGTGGAACGTGCAGCCTTCTCATCTGGCGATCTATTCTATTTGAGATTAATCTTGCAACCTCAGCGTAAACGTGTGCGTCTAGAACACATGGAACTGACCATTACAGAAGCTAGAAGATACCATGTTTCCGAAGTACGAGCGAATCGTTCTGATTCTGAACAGTTTACACTTCCTTTCCTAACATGTCAAAAGCTGGCAGAAGGCGATGACAGCCATGGTGCTGATTCAGATGGTGATTTGAAGCCTGTATTCGCAAAACATGGTAAAGGATTGGACTTGACCGACACCATCGCTTACAGAATTACGTTTGCAACACCTACTTGCATGAGAAATATTCATCACACCACGTATTACAAGGACATTCTGTTTAGGCATCATCTCAATATCAGTATGACGATTTCTTTTGTGGATGAACAATTAACGGCCGAGGCACAACGTCCAGCCATATTGTCGACGAGTAGCAGTAATAGCAGCTTGGGTGATGAGCTGACAAGGTTGCCTGCAACCCCGACATCCATGCCTTCCATGCCATCGAGCACAGAGAGTGTCACAGACATTGAGCAACAGGCAGCCTCTGCTATGATGGCATTGGCTCCTCCGCCAGCTGCATTTGCCATCAATTCCACCAACACCAATACTCACACTAGATATCCGATTGTCAATGTCAATACAAGCAATCCACCGCCCATCATTCATCCACACAACCCACACAACAACATTAGCTCTAACCCGCATTACCAATCGCAATCACAGCAATCCACATGGCTCTCCAAGCTGCGAAAACCTGTTAATACAAAGGAAGGAGGTACACATGTCATTCGCAAGCGAGAGACAATTCGATTAGAGACGCCTGTCACCATCTTTGATTGTCGCCTCAAGGAGGACTATGGTCGATTACCATCCTACTCTGAACTGAACGTTACCGCCCATCCAGCACACGGCGATGACAAGAACAAAATGCTACCTGAAATGATGGAGCAGGATCTAATGTTACAATGCATGCCTGACTCCGATCAGCAGATGCCGTCTAATGAACCACAACCTCAACTATGTCCATGCTATTTCAAATTTCGACGTCAAATGGAGATGGCATCTCAGGCACAGTTACTCACAGCCAACAGCAACAATTCGAGCACGACTACATTAGAAAGAATACCATCGATTCCACCTCCAGATTATGTTGAAACTACCAATTAATACCCCTCCTCTCTCTCTCTCTCTCTCTCTCTCTCTCTCTCTCTCTCTCTCTCTCTCTCTCTCTCTCTCTCTCTCTCTCTCTCTCTCTGTCTGTCTCTCAGTCTCGTAGTCTTGAATAATTTGGCATTACATGCGATATTCCCAATGGTTTTTTTTTTCTTGTTTGTATCATAATAAGATAGTCGCGCACATCCATGGTATATGTCCTTCTACCAGTGTTTCACCAATATATCGACAGCACGTGTGCCATTACAGGAGCAAGTGGGTTAGTGTTACTTGTTGAACATCCGAATATATTGCAAATGGCATTCCCCTTTTTCAGAGAATGTGTGGTAAGGAGCACAATGAATTACAACGCTATTCAACTGACGACACTATGAAAAAGACACTCAATATGTGCGTGTACACCAGTTTTAATCCAATTTATATATTTAATTAATACAACAGTTGGATAAAATAGAAAAAGATCCAATTTTAGCTCTTTACATCAAAAATAACGTTTTATATTTAAGGAGGAGTCGATCTTCTGCTTTATATACTTCTTTGAATAGCCTAATGTTACCTTTGCTGTGTAATTTGTGGATGATTTTCGTTCTCTATTTCTTTAATTCATTATTCTATCGCACTGTGTACAACCAAATATTAAAAAAATTTTCCAATATATATAATAATAGGGATATGTAATTCTCGGGAATCACTTCTTTCTTTCTTTTCTTATATCCTTATCCTATGAATAACAATACGAATACCACCAATATGAGCCATTTCTTTGGTCAGCAGCACCTTTTGCACCAACAGCAGCAGCAGCAGCCAAGAAATTACACATTTCCTCCTCCTCAATTACAGCACCAATTTCATCATGATACCAATCCAAAACACATATTCGCTATCCCTCCTCCCCCTTTATTGTCAGCTATTCCTCCCCCTCCATTTGACAGAGACATTTCGCCACCCAGAAAGAGAACTCGCACTTCCCCTGAGCAACTTGCCGTACTTGAGAAATCTTTCAGCTTGAATCCATCGCCGAATAACCGTGTGAGAGAACAATTGGCACATCAATTGGGCATGCCTGAAAGATCGATTCAAATTTGGTTTCAAAACCGTCGTGCCAAGGTGAAGAATCAGGCCAAACGCTCTGTTCAAATGCAAGATTCCACACTCTATATGCAACAGCAATATGCTGCAAGTGCTGCTGCCGCTGCCTGTCAAAGTGCAGCATTCCAGCAACAACAAGATTCCATTGACCCTAATTTATACTATTACTATTACTACTATTATTTCCATCAGCAGCAACAACAGCAACAGAGACAAGCATTGTCCGTGGTAACGGATCCATCTGCTTTTCCTCCTCCTCCGCCACCTGCACCGTCCTCTTCCTTCTCGACACCCACTTCCTCCTATCCGGCTCCAATCAACACAAACAGTATGCCTGACTTGACCCTGTCTGCCTCCACATCCAGCTCATCCATCACCTCGGACAACCATCATCATCATCATCGTCGCCATCATCATAGATCTTCATCTGCTTCTTCATCCTATACCGAACGCACCAGAGCACATTCCGTTGGACCCTATCCGTATTACCGCAAATCAACTCCACAAGAAAGACAATCTTCTCTGGGTCCTCCTCCAACTGCTTCCATGAGCAATCCCATTTCCACAACAGCCTCGACTGCCACCACTTCATCTAATACCACTGCAACAACCACAACTCCCACCAACATCATGCAATCTCATCCACTCTTATTCAACACATCATCTGATGCCGCCAAACTTTACAATTCATCCACCATCCTCGAAGAACCTTATCATATTGCACCATCTTCTAATTCAGGTAACTTGAGAGCAACGCGTTGCAAAAAAAAAGACCTTGTACACTGATTTTTCACATGAAAATATAGCAAAACCATCAGCACAACAGAAATACAACCTCACAGCACAAACACTGCAAATCGGCACATGGAAACGTGTTTGCGATCTTCACTGCCACATGGACCTTTCGGCACGCACACTGGTCTGGTGCATTGGCGACGAACAGCAAAGCTTCCGCATCGACATTAAACTGAACTTGATCCAGTTTATTCGTATGCAAAGTAATAGTATGACAAACACAAATAAACTAGAGTTCTTTTTAAGTTCACCTGATCAAGTGAAATTCTTCATGACGACGACGACAGATGGAAGCGCCTGGGTTCAATGCCATGACTTTACGCAAGACAAGCAAGCCTCGTCGGAAAATGTACATGTGCTGGAGGGCTTTAGTCTACTACAAGCTGAATTTATGGAAATACTGATGCAGGCACCAGATCTCCAGTCGTTGGTCATTCAAGAAGAAGAACCAGCAACAGCAGCAGCAGACATGTTGCAAGATGATGCTGTTGCCAGCATGTATCATCATGGAAGCCAGAATAGCAGCTTCTTGAACAACAATAGCAGCCAAAGCTTGTTGCTGGACGACGTTTCGACAACAGACGATGGCATGGCCACCAATTTACTATTGCTACAAGGATTGCATTTGCCCTGAATTACGTGAAACCTAGAAAAATAAATAAATAATGATCTACAATTTAATAAACACTTTTTGCCATTGATATGCTAGTTATTGGGCGGTTCATATACAATAGGGAGAGTTACGGTCCATCCATCATGATCAGAACATGGGATCACCATCAGGTAAATGCAGAATATGTAAAAACGTGGCCAACGTCTCCCCCCTCCCCCTTCCCTAATGATCGACAGCGGTTTTTTTTTTATGATGGCTAAAGCCGAGCAAATGTGCTGTTATTATTTTATTGTAAAAATACAGGATTACAACTTGGATTTGATAGAAGCAGGATTTCTCCATTGGGCCTTTCTCTTTTGAGCAAAAGCCATCAAGCCTTCTGTCAGATTATCGCCATCTCTCCAGACAGCCGCTTCAGGAGATTCCATCCATTCTGTAGTAGCGTCTGTCATGGAGGCACGTTCAAGAGCCAACAAAAGACCTTGTTTTGTCAAGAAGACGGCATCAGGCGAGTTGGCAGTGATTTGCTTGGCCCACGCAATAGCAGCATCCACCACATTGGCACCATCGGGAATGATTTCGTTGACAAGACCGTGTTGTTTCGCCTCATCTGCCTTCATAAAACGTCCTGTCAAGACGAGTTCTGAAGCGACCTGGTAGCTCACAGAGCGAGCTAAACGAGCAAGACCACCTGCAGCAATGACCACACCTTGCTTTACCTCTGGCAAACCAAATTTGGATTTCTCTGTAGCAACCACAATGTTGCATGATACTACCATCTCCATACCACCACCAAGAGCAAAGCCATCTACTGCAGCAATCACTGGTTTACGGCTTGAACGACGGTTGCTGAGACCACCGAAACCAGAAGGAGGTAAAGTAGATCCACCCAATGATTGCTTGTCGTCGGCACGAGCATGATGAGCATTGACGAGATCCATGCCTGTACAGAAAGCTTTACCGCCAGCACCGGTGATCTATACATGATTTTGATCAGACATGTTGTCATGATGAGACGCTTAGATCACACTTACAATAATACACCAAATGGACTCTTCTTCCTCTGCCCAATTAATTACGTTATGCAACTCCCAATTTGCGCCCGAATGTAAAGCGTTGTATTGTTTCTGTCTGTTAATGGTGATGAGCAAGACATGAGGCTCAGGTTCCGACAAGATGGTGTATTCAGTCTTTGGAAATTGGAGAGAAGAGGTCATTTGTATGTTGTATGGATAGAGAAGAGGAAACTCTTTGTTGCAACTTGCGTTTTTTTTTTATATTCACTGAGATGAGAAACTCTAATTTTGTGTCTTTCGTCCTTAGTCATTTCTTTTTCTCACACGAGATTATTGACCTGTTGCCCCTCTCTTTCTCTCTTTCGCTCCGCCTAATTTCATGCTGCTGCTGTTGTGGGGGGATGTAGGTGTGTGTGTGTGTATCCCAGAAATCAAAACAAATATCCTTTTAATCAATTGCATTATAAACAACAGCAGGTGTAACAATAAAGACTTTATAAATGAGGAGAGAAAAAATCAAAGAAACTAGTAAACATGATGAAAGGGTAGAACGAGACAATAAATATATATATATATACAACATATATTGCAAGAACAAGGGAAATAAAGGAGACAAAGTAGAAAGAAAAAAAAAAGGGGGAAGGGGGGGGGCTAAATACAATAAACACTATGCTTTTTTGGTTTTGTTCAGTTTGCCATGACCAAGGTATCCTTCTTCTCGTCCTTTTTAGCGTTCATTGCAAGTGGAGATGGCTGATGAACATGGGGCTTCATCTTTTTGTTTTCAGGGCTGCTGGGAGGTGAGATTCTGATGGGAGTGGATTGCGGTTGTAGATACTGAAGACGAGGTGACTGAGAGGGGCTGATCATACCAGTATTTCCAGGATCCATCTTTAGCGACACTCTTCCACGAGAACGATCCTCATACAGTGTCATGATATTGCCATGATCTCCAACTCGATAAGATACTGAATAGGGATCAATCCATAGTACAAAGTCACGAGGTAGATGTGTGTGAATCAATGGCGCTGAACAATTAGCAAGATGGCAGGCTGTACAGCAGAATTGATAAGCAACAGGATGATGTTGGATGATGATGAGTCAGCCACCCATCTTGGAAAACTCACCTTTGGCGATAACAGGGTCTAAATCACCATTAAAGTTGGATATTGATCTGTAGCCGTTCCCTCTGTACGGCTGCTGAGGATCCCAATGATTAACAAAATGCTGCTTTAACAATTCACCGAGTTGTTCTTTAAACGATGATATGGTGCTAGCGTCCAGTTTGTTCTGTAATAATCTACCCAGGAATTCAACAGCTTGAGCTATTTCGATATGCATTGTTGTTTGTGTGTTTGTGGAGGAAAGAAGAGAGAAAGAAAGAGAAAGATGAAAATTCGGGTAAATATACCACACACACACACACACACACACACACACACACACACACACACACACACACACACACACACACGCCCATCCAACATGACGTACAAAATTTAAACAACCGGCTTTATGCAAAAAAAAAAAAATCAGAAGAGAAAAGTCTTAAATCAACTTTAATCGTTTAGCTAATGTCAATGAGAGAATAGCAAATACAGCTAAACTAAGCACAATCCAAAAGAAATAAATGAGGTTATCGTAGTCTTTGCCAGGAACTTTGACGTTCATGCCCCATAAACCTGTAACGAGATTCATGGGCAATAGCACGGTGGCAAAGATGGTCAGTCTACCGATAACATGATTTGTCGAATTGGATGTTTGGGTTAGCTCAATAGATATCCGCGCCAGATAATTCGACTCTGATCTCGCTAGCACTGTTTCGTAATGGTTCAGATTTTGCAACATGGTCAAGATGTGGTCTTGCACATCGCCCAAGTAGAGTCCAACATCAGGGTATATTTTGCCATCCACCATCTCTTCCTGTTGCAGGGAGGAAGCAGAGATATCTTCCACAATACGCTTCATGAGACCTCGCACCACTTCTACTTTTGTACCGAGCAATCGTACCATTTGAATCACCTTTTTGCGGCATGTACCTATACGCAGTATCATGTCGGATTGATCTGATTTATAGAGCAACACCAAGTCGTCAATGGCATCCACTTCAGATTCAATTTGCTGTATCATGGGCGCAAAGCTGTCTGTGATTTCGTCCATAATGGCGTAATTGATCCAATCAGGTACCACTTCTATATAGTCTTGCAACTGCTTCACACGTTGTTGTACATGATTTACATGCGGTACATGACCAAAATGGAACTATGTATAAACAATTGAGACAACGAAATACATACATGATGGCAAAGAAAGACCTACCGTCAGTATATGCTTCTTTGTGACAATATTGTAAAACGTAACCGGCTTTAGCAGCTGCTCGCAATCATGCAGAAATGCTCGATAACAAACAAACATGTAGTGCCTGAAAACATCGCATTTCTCTCGTATTTCATGAGACATGATATCCTCTGCTGTCAATGGATGGATATGAAACACCTTGCTGATGATCTTCATCTCCTCGTTGGAGGGCGATGTGATGTCTATCCAAAAGTTGTCTTTGGTCAAGAGCGTTTCCAGTGTCATGTTGGGCGGTAAATTGATGTCTGTGAAGGATCTGCCACGAATACTGCCTGTATCAGGGTGGTAGTACATGAAGCGCTCCTGCTGTTCTTGTTGCAAATAGTTCTCACTTCTTGTATGGTGATCGACCGGCTGTTTGTTGTCACCGTACAGGCTGAGCAACTGCCTTTCTTGTTTGTTGAGCGGATACACATTTGGTAACGGTGATTCACTTGGACTGTCGCAGTGGTTATTGCGTGGTCTGCTATCATGAAATAACGATAACGCGGACAAATTGATGCCTTCATAACTCACGCTGTGTCGCAGGGTCGACGGAGGAGGCAGTAGTGGAACTTCCAGAATTGGGCTCTTCTCCTCCAATGTACTACTGCTTGTGGAAGGCCGATTATTAGGAAAGCAAATGTCTTGCTCGACCTTTTGTTGGTACGAGCGTCGATTAAACAGTTTATCCAGGTCTTTGGGATCCGTCAGTAGTAGCAAGTCTTTTTCTTTTTGCATCAGCATTTCGTTTCTTTGCTGCTGGTTACTGCATGAGGCTGAAGTGGTTCGGGATTTTCGCTTGTTGCTATCAATGTGTGATGGAAAGTACGGGAAATTAACATCCATTATGTGGAGACAATGAAAAAGCAAAGCAGAGAAATTCAAAAGGCTAGCAAGCCATTATATACACTGATAATAGGGAGATGTCTCGGTGGAATAGGGATAAATACATAAATCTTATATATAAGATTGCCATTACATAGGAGCATCAATTGAGTCAACTAAAGGGGATTATTTGTAATTAAAATAAGAACCTAGTAGCACGCATAACCGTATTACATGCACACACACACACACACCAAATCACAGCCAATACATCCATTACAAATCAGATCCTGAATTAGCAGCATTTGACACTGCAAATTCAAGCTTAAATTAGCCAAACTTGGCCAATCAAATGCCAACACAAATCGTTGCAGAAGCGAGTATAAATGTCCTTTCTTTTTTCTTGCTGCGAGGTCCCGTTTTCACCTCTTTTAATTACACTTTTTTTTTATTCACAACATGGTTAGAAAGACTTTCTTGTTTACTGCTATTGCTGCTACTTTTGCTGCTCTCACTCACTCAGTTTTGGCTGATGAAGCAAGCGATGTTCTTTCTTTGACTGACAAGACCTTTGACCAAGAAGTCCTCGATCAAGATTTAATGTTGGTTGAATTCTTTGCCCCTTGGTGTGGTCACTGTAAAGCACTTGGTAAGTCGAGGTGGCGTATCATGATGAGGCGTATGTGTACTCATTCTGATGTGTAGCTCCTGAATACGAGATTGCTGCTACTCAACTCAAGGATAAGGTCAAGATTGCCAAGGTGGATTGTACCGAGAACCAAGATCTCTGTCAAAAGTACGATGTCCGTGGTTATCCTACTCTCAAGGTGTTTAGAAACGGCGAAACCTCTGAATATAAGGGCGCTCGTAAGGCTGATGGCATTGTCAGCTATATGCAAAAGTAAGTTACCATTGGGGCAAGAGAGAGAGAGAGAGAGGAGAAGAGGAAATGTGATATATATCCACGCGTTCAGATGAATTAACATTTATATCTAAAGGCAAGCTGCTCCTGCTGTTGCTGATTTGGATGCTTCCAACTTTACCGAATTCCAAAACTCTGATCGTGTTGTTGTTGTTGGTTACGCCAACGATGATGCCTCCAAGGCTGCTCTCAAGCAAGTTGCCAACAAGTTGCGTGATGACTATCTCTTTGGTATCGTCACTGACGAAGCTCTTGCCAAGGAACACAAGGCTGAATTCCCCAGTGTCGTAGTTTACAAGCAATTTGATGAAGGTCGCAACGATCAAACTGGTGCATTCGAAGTGGAGGCTATTGAGGAGTTTATCAAGACCAACTCTGTGCCCCTTTTAGACGCCATTGATGCCTCCAACTTTAAGAGCTATGCTGAAGCTGGTCTTCCTTTAGCTTATCTCTTCCACGACAATGCTGAAGATCAACAAAAGCTGACTGAAATGGCCACACCCCTTGCCAAAAAGTACAAGGGCAAGATCAACTTTGTTCACATTGATGCCACTAAATTTGGCGCCCATGCTGGCAACTTGGGTTTGAAGGAGGAATGGCCCGCTTTCGCTATTCAACATTTGGACACTGGTGCTAAATTCCCTCTTGATCAAACCAAGGCTGTTGCATTCGAAAACTTGGAACCTTTCCTCCAAGATTACGTTGACGGTAAGATCAAGCCTACCGTGAAATCTGCTGAAGCACCTGCTGAGAACAATGGCCCTGTCAAGGTCATTGTTGCCAACGAATTTGTGGATATTGTGCTTGACAAGTCCAAGGATGTCTTTTTGGAAGTCTATGCTCCTTGGTGTGGTCACTGTAAGCGTTTAGCTCCTGTCTGGGAACAACTCGGTGAAGCTGCAGCTAAGCAAGCACCCAACCTTATCATTGCAAAGATGGACGGTACTGAAAACGATATTCCTGAAGAAGCTGGTTTCGATGTCTCTGGCTTCCCTACACTCAAGTTCTTCAAGGCAGATACCAATGAATTGATTGATTATGATGGCGATCGTTCTATTGAAGATCTTACTGATTTCATTAGCAAGCACACCTCTAATAATGTCAAGATTACTGTCTCTGAAGAAGAGCCTGCTGCTGCCGATCAAAAGGAATCTGCAAACACTCACGATGAATTGTAAATTTTCTAAAACAAATATCCCCCCCCCCCTCCCTTTGTCTATTTTCTATCTTTTTTTATTTTGCCACAAACACAAACACATTATTTTCTCATGCAATAAAAAACCATTCTGAACAACATGTGCATTTCTGATATATCGACTTGATGAAGGAGCCTGGTATTGGGATTATTTCTACTTGCTTTATACGCGGACAAGAAGGATGGTGAATCCATTGATTGGATGTTTATAATGGAATATATGATGGCAGGAGATGCAAATCCTTGATTGCCATAATACAGGCATGTTTTGCATAAAGAAATGCTCCACTTCAACTAGGCGCCAAGAAGTCTGACAAATCAACGCTTTTGCAGATTTGCTCAGGGGTATTTGTGAACATGCTTAATTGCCTTTTCATACTTGCAATTCTGTGTCATTTGGAAAAAAAAAAAAAAAAAAAAAAAGTGTTTGTTGGGTTGAGAAGAGTAACTTTGTTGTATGGCTGCTGCTTTCGATATATACAAAGAGGCAAGGAATTCCTAGGTGTGCGAAACTTCTCAGGCAACTGTAGGGTCTTCTTATTGCACATTCGTAGATGCCTTGAAGGATTGGCACATGTAGATCGCCAAATAAAAGAGCAACTACAACATGAATATACCTCTCTCTCTAGCATCTCTCAAGCGAGAAGGCAAGACTGAGGCTCACAAGGACGGCATGCGTTAATCTGCAATCACTATACAGCTTTTATCTATCGCCTAGTCCATCAAGATGCGTAAAACACCGAATCTAAAAGACATTGGGGTTATCCAATTTGGCTAGTAGATGAGGTTGGCATGAAAAAGCATCGACGAAAGTGAACGTCGAAGAACGCCATTGACATGCATTCATCAGCATAATCTATAATAAACTAAAATTAGGAATCAAGTGCTGAGATGTCTCTCTAGACATTTGCAACAACGAGTATTTTGATTTCCTAGTGATGCGCATCGATGTATATCTTATTAAACAAACTTATATTTATTTGGGGTGGAAGAATACTATATGAATCATACATAATGAACCCTGTCAAAGCTTAAAGAGGGAGAAAAGTAGAGAGGAAGCCTACAATATATCTACTTTTTCGTGGTAGTGTGCTTCTTGGTGGTATGCTTCTTCTTGGAGGTTGTCTTCTTCTTGTTGTTTTGTGCCTTGGCAGCATTTCCCTTGGGAAGAGAGTGACAACGAACATATTCTTCAATTTGGTTGACACCTTCACCACGAGCGGGGTAGCCAACACAAACGGCAGAGGGCTTACCGCCCTTCTTGGTGGTGGTGGTGGTCTTTTTGGTGTGAGTCTTCTTGGCTTTAGCAGTAGTCTTCTTACTCGTCTTCTTGGTAGTGGTGTGCTTCTTGGTCTTTTTGGTAGAGCTGTGCTTCTGGGTGGTGTGCTTCTTGGTGGTATGCTTTTTGGTAGTGTGCTTTTTGGTGGTGGTCTTTTTATCGTTCTTGATAGAAATGTAACCTACATTGAGATGTGAGTTGACTGATTTGTAGGCAATGAACGAGATTTAATTAATTACCAGCAAATGAAAGATCTTTAGCACTAGGACCAGCTTCAATGACACTAGAGAATGTTTCCAATTAGATCATGATGGGTGTTGTCATGTACATTTTGATATTTACTATTTCTTTTCCTTGATGGAGGAAGGAATCTTCCAAGAGTACTTGCCGAGACTGGCATTGACATGATCAGCAATCAAACCATTGATCTTCAATGACTTGGAAGGGCCTGATGCATATTGAAGACGAATAGGGCCAGTTGTATCATTGTTGACTTTCCTATCAGTCAGAAGCTAAAATTAGACACGAAATCTCGGTAAATCTGACGCAATGTTTATTACCACTTGATCTCTACGGTAGATCCAGCTTCCCATACAGCATTAGGTTCGGGAGTGGTAATTGTAACTGAACTGGCTAAAACCAATTGTAATGCGGCTGAAAGAGATAAGACTGCAAGTGAAGATTTAAACATCATCTTTTTAATAAGGAACGGAAATTGTTAAATTGTTTTTAAGGGAGTGGTGTGGGGTTGTAGTAGTAGAGAGAAGAGAGGATGGTTGTGAACAAAGAAGAAGAAAAGAAAAAGAAGAAAGATGGGTAAAAACAAGTGCTAAAATATATGCTTTTTATTTTACACAATACAATAAATTTAGTGATACATTTTCTTTGAAGTACTCGAAAACTAACCTTCATTTGGCTTTTTAGTTGGTCGATCTTTCATATATCGTGTAACTGCAATTTTGATTGAAAAATTATTAAATAAAAAAATTTGGATAAAAACTTGGAATATTAAGGAAGGCATCTCGGCTTTGATCCATGTCAAAAAAAGATGCCAATGTATATAAAAGCAGAGCGATGATGAATAAACATGCCTTCTTTTTGGTTGCCATCTTTGTTTCTCCACTACATTATCTAACCAACATGAGGCTTTCTCTCTTACTAAATACAACACTACTCGTATGCGCAATTCAACTAGTACATGGTCGCTGTGTATGTGACCCTGCTGACACGACCTGCTTAAATGACTGTGGTAATACAAACGAATAGAAAGTTTATATGTAATTTTAGAAACATGTGTTTTAATCCATTTTGGGTGAAAAAGTGAACAATGCCCGAAATTGTATAGAGGATTGTGGTAATAATACATGTTTTACAGAGTGTATTAATGTTCATTGGCCTGGGGCTACGTTCGAAGATGGTGAGCTAGAAGAGGCGGAAGCACCAAATATTAGCACCCTGAAAGTAGACGATGCAACATCCGCACCTGCTGCTACTGCAGGAACAAGCACTGCTGCTACTGCCACCACCACGACAGAAGTTGATTTTATTGGCGCTCTCATCTCTGCCATTTTCAATCCGCCAAATGTTCAGGAGACAACACCTCCTACGCCTGCATTAAAAACCGAAATTTCGGATACTGCATCTGTATTGATGCCTACCTCTGTTGCCGAGTCTCTGCTGCCACTGTCTGAAATAGCTTCCATGTTGAATATTACAGATCCTCTGTTGACTACAAGTAACTACATGCTCATGTTACAATCTAATAAGTTGAAGCCTTACATAAAGCTCTATTTAGCTCATACCACCATCACTAGTATGGTAACAGTGACTCCGACTGCTGCTCCTTCGATCTCTTCAGGCACAAATGCATCCGCATCATCATCTGTCTCGTTTGGACTACGCCTTGAAGCCAATCTTTTCTATCCAATGCTGATTTTTGTATTAACAACAGTTTTTATTTATTGATTTATGGGATGATATAAGAAGGAGGGTGAAGTGGGATGACATTTATATATACTATAGGATTAGGAGGGGTTGATTTCTTTCTAAAAGAAACATGAATAAATACACACAGTTTAATTTTCTTATTGCACAAGCTTTTGTTGCTTTTCTTGCAATTCTTGTTCTTTCTCCAAGAGTGCCTTTGCGTTCTTTCTTCTTTGTCTCTCTTCAAAGATGTTTCTGTTTTCAATGATGCGTTCAATAATGCCTTGCGTTGTGATGGTGTTGTTGGGATTTTCAATTTCCACGTAGATGTTGCGTTTTTTAGGTAATTCATAAGGGTCGCTACCGTCAAGATCAGGCTCAGTGGGTGTGTTACCATGGACTACAATGTTAACATTGTATTCCTTATTCAATACATCCTCAGTGACACTATAGGGGGCTCCGATGATAACTTCATCCACATAGCGACAAGCTAATACGCTGAGTGCACGTTCATGTAAGTTCATCAAGGGATAGTTGATGCCTTTAATAGCATTGACAGTCTAAAAAAAAAACACATGCAAATTTAGACTCTACCTCTGTAAAATATGTGTTCACTATCCTTACTTGATCATCATGCACACCCACAATCAAGAAATCGCCCAATTCCTTGGCACGCTTCAAGAATTCAATATGACCCACATGGAACAGATCAAACGTACCATCCACATACACCACGCGATCCGATGCCTTGGGTTCAATACCCTTTGAAAACTGAACAATGCGCTTTGAGGTAGGTAAAAAATGAGATACCTTGGCTGGTGCACTGAATGAGCCAACATCCTTTGGGTTCACTCCAGATAGATCCTCCTCAACGTCAGCCAGAGAAGATCGACGGTGGTTATGATGGTTCTTGGTCATGAGCAACATGCGGCCAACCAACTCTGTGGTGGAAACACCTTGTGTGCGCTTACATTCCTTGTAGAGACCTGCATCTTTCACAGCTTGATAACAGTCGGTACCATCGGCCATAGTAGTGATATCATCGCCGTGCACACAGAAATCGATATTGTATTCCTTGAGAATTTCTACTGTGGTATTGTATGGTGCATTGGGGACAACTTCATCCACCCATTTGCAAGCGGCTACAGCAGCATAACGCTCTTGCTCTCGGCACACGGTAGGCCCTTTATTGCGTTCAATATCAGCATCAGAGTGAACACCAACTACTAAGATGTCACCCATCTCCTTTGCTTGTCTCAAGGCATTGGCATGACCGTAATGCATCATATCGAAACAGCCATCAACCCAGACTCTATACCATCTTATGAGACTCGTGGCCATAGTGATTGCAAACATATACTACATACCTGATAGGCTTTCTTGCGTTAGTAACAGTCATTTTGAGTTATAGAGTATAGTAAAAAAAAAATAAAGAAGAGAAAGAGAGGATCCGAAAAAAACAAAAAGCATAAATTTTTAAGTACACAAGGTTTTTTTCTTTGCTCTTTCACGTGGAAATAAGAATGCTTCATCTTTTGGTGTCACGAATACTGGTACCTGAATCTTTACCCAACAAAAACTAGATTGGGATCTAATAACCACCCAATTTTAGGTTAAAGGCATTCAAGAGAAACCAACTATACATCTCGTGACAAAGCGCTTAGCTCTAGATCATCAGACAACAGCCATCATCAGATGTCTCTCTCTTGCAAGTGATTTTGGAGATGGATTTCAAGGATTTGGCGCTAAAACCTTTAAATATCTAGTACCCCATTCAAAAACGTGAGTGTTGATGATTGGCCTCTGTGCTTGAAGAACGGTACATCAAGCAGGCACACTTACCCAAGTGAAATGTTGTGTAACTGGTATCTATAGGTCGCATAATAATACTATTAGACATTGCTTGATATCATAACATAATAAATGCTCGGTCTCTAGACACTTTCACAACCCTAATATGGAGAATTAGTTTCAAGGCATCTGCTAGGCCCGGCTCATATGTTTAACTAGCCCCACCAGGCAAATTTAATTCAAACCCAGATTCGTAGTCTGTTTCCAGATTGGACAAAAGTTGATAATTTTCGACTCGATCGAACTATTTTTGCAGATTCGACCAAGTAAAATATGATAATCACCCTATGCGTCTTTAAGCTTTCCTGGAGTGCTTTTCAAGGCGTATCCAATGGTACTAAGTAATATAAATGTTTTGAATAAACTTATTGAGCAATTTATGAAAACTTAAAAAGAGGTTTCTGGCCAAAAAGTCGAGATTTTCCATATCAAGGTCTCGCAAAAATGATTTCAAAGATTGTTTTGGATCAATTGCATCATTTTGATTCAATATATACCATAGGAAAAGTCTTCATTTTCAAAGTGAAAAACGCGATCGTTTAATTTTTGATGAAAACCATGAGGGGTACCTCATTCTTTTCAACAGCCAGCAAGGCCTCACTCGACAGATTTCAACCAGAACATTCCGCACAGCATGCATCGAGGCTCACACCTCCAACATTGCCAGGTCCAACTGGAATTTCTTCTGGTCTCTGTCCCTGAACCTTGTCCACCGTAATGTCATCTATCGCTTCCTCACCCACACCATCCCGACCAAACGCCTGCTACACTACTTTGAGATAGCTGAGTCACCTCTCTGCCCGATCTGTGGTAACGAAGAAAATGCTGTACACTTGCTTTTCCTCTGTTCCAGTAAGGCATCCATCTGGAAAGCTATCATCTTTGAATTCTTGTGGCCAACCGTTTCGATTGGTGATATTATCCAAGCCTGTTCCTCTCTTGACTTTGAAAACATCAAGTATGTCTCCAAATCATACACCACTGCTCACATGGTCGTACTGGTAACACTTGGCAACATTTGGCGAGCTCAAGTTCGTATGATCTTTCACTCGACTCCATTTATATGGATCGATGTGGTCCAGCAGATCAAGAACGAGCTCCTTCAACTACATGCCCAAACTGAAATTCACAAGCAATTGTAATTCTCTAATCACAATTATCATCTATCATCTGTTCCTGTCATCTATCGCTTTATCCTAAATACAATTGAATATCATATCAATTGCGCCCGCCTCTTGGTAGTGCCCTAGGGACCTACTTACACGGAGCAATCAATAAAAACAATTTAAAAAAAAAAAAAAAAGTACCTCATTCTTTTTGGTCGAATTTTGGCCATGTTTTTTTTGATCCCCAAAAAGTTGAGCAAAGGTGTCAGAAAGTAACTGCCAGACGAGAGCAATTGTTTGGTGCTATTCTGACGATCTAAAACGGCCTTGAACGAGAGAAAACGCAGCTCAAATGCACTCAAATTTTGCTGCATCAGGGACACTAAAGACTAAAAAGTGGGAATACCAGTATGCTGCTTGCCCGTATATGAAGTAACTACGTGTATATGGATGTAGAACATCACATAAGAATCAGATCCGCAGATAATATGAAGGGTTTTCATGTGTAGGTAGAGGGTCAAAATGAAAATAGCAGTATTTTGATAAGGTACGCAAGGGTAATCGGTAGCACGAGCTGCCGCTGCGCAGATTGGTTCTCACCGAAGCGAAGCAAAGGTAGAGAGCCATCCGAAGCATATACACTTTTTCCGTGTAATAAGTCTTCTTTTTTTTTTAGCTTATATAGACATAGAATGTATTTGAGAAGACTTTCGCCGCAATGTAGAGACGAACATTTAAAAGAATTTACGCCAATTATTCCAGCTAGTGTCACCTTATAGTACATCCATAATTCAAAAGCTTTGCAAATTATCACGTTGTTATGTATTGCAACAACATTGCTCTTTGAAATGACAAACACAAACAGACATTCATAAAACTTCAAGTTCTTGAGAATCATCTTGCACTATTTATTGACTGTCGTAGATGAAGATGTATCCTCTAATCTATCATCACATCCACAAGGATACTTTGACAAAATATCAGAGCAATCATATATAGGTTTGTGAACTCTCTCGTTCACCTTATTATGCATTGCACACAGCCATTGGGATGCAGCTAACCTCGATGATGTTTGTGGTGGATACGTCTTGAGTAGCTTGTTGAAATGGACAGCACTAGCAATATTGATATTGTTAGGTTATAACTGATTGTGCTAGCAGTAACAGTACTTCTTACCACTCGCCGCATGGATATAATCTTGAAAATAGCATCATAAAATCATGCAATGATTGTCTTTCTTGTGGCGAGGGGCTTTCGGGAAATCTTCCCATCATTGTATGCAAGAATCGCCATGTAGCTCGACCTAGTTCAGCTCTACATGAGTGAATATCTATATCAGTTTGTTTTTGGGGGCAATCGTACGCATCATTACTTTTCAGTCTTGTTCCCCAAGAATCCCATGATCACCTCCTTGTCGTATTGTTCGCTACCGTTCGTAGTTATTTCACTCAACTTTGAGTTCGAGAACAGTGACGAAAATTCAGAGCTCCGAGTAGGTTTAAACACAAAATAGAGCGATGTGAGGATCAAGTATAAAAGTGCAATCAGAGAAATCAAGTAAACTCTTCTCATTGTGTTGATTCTAAGGAAATTAAAGGCCCAAGAATTGTTGAACTGTCAATTATAATTGAACATAAACAGTGACCAGTTTTATTAGATGAGATAATCATGCGTTAAATCAAGAAATATCCACCAGCTGATGTTTGGCCTTTGCTAAATCCAGAAGGTTGTCAAATTCACCTGAATTGCGGCACATTTTGTAAAAGGCCGAGTCTTCATCTTGCAAGAGCTCCAAAGGACTAGATGAGAGGATATATTAATCAAAGCAATTCGACATGTCATTCCCTGAGATTCTCTTACCTTGCAAATTCTACTATCTCACCATGATCTAATACCAAGATGCGGTCATACTCAATAATAGTATTGAGTCTATGAGCAATACACAAGATGGTGGAGTCTTTAAATTCAGTCGTAATGGTCTTTTGAATAGCCTTATCCGTCTCGAAATCAACGCTTGCAGTAGCTTCGTCCATGAAAACCACCTTGCTACGCTTGAGTAAAGCTCTAGCGAGACACAAGAGTTGCCTTTGGCCCTGAGAAAAGTTCTTGCCTCCTTCGCTCACAGATGTCGTCAAATCTTTAAATACGTTTTGATTGACATCTTGATCCGATGTGTCGTTCAATAAGTGAACTCTACGCAAAGCAGTAAAGATTTCTTCTTGAGTGAATTGATTAAAGGGATCCATATTAGAACCTAGTGTGCCTGAGAACAATACAGGATCTACAGTACAGAAGATCTTAGCGCCTGTACTTTGTCATGGCAAAAGTTCATACGTACCTTGAGGAATAATGGTAAGATTGCTTCTCAAATCCTTGGTGCCAATCTTTGAAATATCAATATCATCGATGAGAATGCTTCCCTCTGAGGCTTCAATGAATCGAAAGAACGAGAGAGCCAAGGTCGATTTACCACTACCTGTTCTTCCTACGATGCCCACCTTCTCCATAGGTTTAATGGAGAATGTCAAGCCTTTGAGCACTGGTTCGAAATCAGCAGCATATCTCACATGCAGGTTGTCTACTTTGATGGCACCTTGATTGGGCCACTGTCATTGTCATGGCTACATGAGTATACACTGTAGATGATGGATGTGCTATTGTTACTATAACTTACCTCCAAGGGCGGCTTCACATTTGTTACAGCAGGAGCTTCTTGATCCATTTCCAGGAAGTCGACTACGCGCTCAACAGAATTAAAATTCATTTCAAGGGCAGTGTATCTTCTTACGCCCCAGTAAATCTAGTGAAATAGAGTCGTTAGAGTGCAATTGATAATGAGATTAGACGGCACATACCATGTCGGTAAATACAGTGACATAGGACAAGCAAAAACCTGCCATGGCAGCATCCATGTTACCCAGGTTGGCAAGGATAAAGATGCCGGTAAGAAGAGTAATCAGCGATCCCATGAGAGCAATACGCACACTGACCCATCTACTGACACTGTAAGCGTAGTACATGGGACGCGAGTTGGTATCAATCTTGTTGAGCATGTCCAGCATAAAATGCTGTGTCATACCAAATGCACGAATCGTAGCGACACCAACAATGCTTTCGCTAAAGTGAGTAAACAGTGGAGATCGACTGACAGAATCCATGCGCTTCAGTTCACGCGATGCTGCCACAAAGCGCAAACCAAAGTAGATGTTGGTTAAGGCAACCAGGATCATGGGCACAATCAGTACAGGCAATACAGACGTGGCTACCAAAAGAATGGATATCACAGTCGTCCATTGAACACAGAATTGCACCATGTCAAATGGAACAGATGTATCAATGGTTTCAAAATCCTTGGAGAAGCGGTTGACAACACGGCCAATGGGTGTTGTGTCAAAGAAACGTAAAGGAGCTTTCAATACACGGTCGAGCAAGAGAATGTAGAGTTTTCTACCAGCACGAATACCGCCAGAGAAGGTCGTAATGTATCTTGTAAGACCAAAGAGGATGTTGACTAGATTGATAAGGACGTAAATGTTGAGATAGTAGCTTGTATCATGCGTATGATCGCTTTCCAGAGTAAATGCAGAAATGAAGACGCTTTGGTGAAGGCGAGTGGATGCTTGGTTGATACTGTTCTCAATGGCAAAGGAAGCCACGTTGTGGTCGCTGCTTTCATAGGACTGAGCCCACGTTTTCAACCACCAAGTGGAGGTAATGTCAAGGCTTCTAGCTGTAAACACGGTAAAAAAGAAGAAGATCCAAAAGAGCCAGCTTCCCACCAGCTTGAAATAGAGACGATACAGTGTAAATTTGACTTTGCCCTGAGCGCGGCCTTCCTTTTCGACCAGCACTTTGGGCGCCTTTCTTTCCAGTGCTTGTTCTTGCTGGTCTTCTACGTTGCAAAGTTGATCCTCTTTAACCTCTTCCTCCTCCTCCTCCTCTTGTTCTGCAAAGTTCTCTTCAAAGATCAGTTCCAGTTTGCCCGCTTGCCTGATATCAGCTGGAGAGCCAGACAGTTGGATGCGACCCTCTTTGATATATACAACATGAGCACTCCCCTGAATACACAGATTGACATGATGCGTAATCAAGATTTGAGTGCGGTTCTTCATTAATGGGCCCAACAGACATTGCTGGTATAAATGTTTGGCCGTATGCGCATCTACAGCACTCAAGACGTCATCCATCAATACATTGTGTGCTCTCGAGTACACTGCTCTCGCTAACGAAACACGCGCCTTCTGTCCGCCCGACAAAGTGATGCCTTTTTCGCCAATTTCTGTAGCATCACCATCTTCAAGATACGATAAGTCCTTAACTAGCGCACATGCTGCTAATGTAGCATTGTATCGCTTTTCGATAAAAGGGAGTCCAAACAAGATGTTGTCCTTGATAGACGCATTCTGCAGCCAAGCAGTTTGAGCAACATACGCAATGGCATCTTGCAAAATCCATTTGGGAGGTACAGTGTGGTCGCTGTCTTGTTCAGAAAGATGAATGGATGTGATGGCAGTGGAATCATCCAGTGTAGAGGGAGTAGCAGATCGAGGACAAAACACAGCGCCTTGCTTGATCTCTGTTTCGCCCAAGAGACTCAACATCAGTAGTGTTTTACCAGAGCCAGTGCCGCCACAGATGAGCGATAGTTGCTGATTGGGAAAGACAACATTGAGATCTTTTAGTGTAAAGGTGTTGTCCTCCTGTAAGTCGTCATCGTCTGCAGTTACATTTGAATCAGTGTCCACCGTTTCCTCGCTGTCTGTATTATTCGTTGGCCAGCACACGGTGGCGTTTGAGAAGCCAATCTTGACTGCATCGCTGTGTGGGTCAATAGTGGTGTCTGTGCTAACTTCATCCTCATTCAAGTAGTCTTCAATACGTTTCACACTGATGAGTGTTTCAAATAATCGAACAGCGGCTTCAGGGATGATGGAGAACGCAGCCCGTAGTTCATTAAAGATGGCAATGGATGTAAATGCAATAGGAGCAGTGAGTTGCTCACCTTGTAACTTGGTGAATGACCAAAATGCCACTGTAGTCACCATCAGCGGTGTCTATATAAAAGTGAAGCGTTAGATTGACTATAAGCGTATATATACATGCCACTTACACCTTGCCATAGCACCAGAAACACCACCTCAGACAGGTAGCCCTTTTTGATACAGCGTAACTCGGCATCTCTTGACTCTAGAATGCGTTTTGACCAGTTGGACTCCCAAGCAAAAAACTTGATTTGACGGATACCTTGCAACACTTCATTCATCAAGGAAACTCGCTTGTCTCTCGTCTTCATAAGCTGAGCTTGCAAACGGATGAACCACTTTGTGTTGAAATGATTGAGAGGCACAGTCGCTACAATCACCAAAAGACCCATTATACTTGACCAGCCCAGTAAACGGTACAGAAAATAGATACCAAACACCAGCTCAGTGGGTGCTCTCACCAAAGTGTTCCATTGCGTTGCAAAATCAGCGATTCTAGCGGCATCTGTGCTCATCAGATTGACAATGAGACCTGTGGCCGAACTAACGTTGCCTTCATCTATACCCGCAGTATTGCCCTTCTCTTTCTTGTCTGCGGTAGAGGGCTTTTTTTTGCCGGACGAGATGGAAGTATCCATGCGACGCAGTGTTTTTCTATACAATTCTATGTTGAGCATGGATCTGATACGAATCTGAACGGATGATTGTGCTACACATAAACAAAGAGAGGTTAGTATAAACCGCAGTATATGCTCAATAAGGTAAATATTACCATAAAACCATAATTGTGCGATAACAAGACTACTGAATATGTTGAATAACGCCATGCCAACAATGTAGCCAAATCCCAAGATCAATGACCGGTCATCCGCGCCTCCGACAGACATATCCTGAATCAGCAATAGCAGCTTGTTCAAAAACAAAGGCTGGCCATACATGACTAACGCAATAGTGATAGACAAAGATAATTGAACAATCAGAGATGCTCGGTTGGCTAGATAGATGCGATACAGTAATCGTTTTCCTCGGCTAGCACCAAAGCAGTAGAAGAGATTAAAAGGTCTATGCGTGGTGGGCAGTCTGGATAAGTCATCGTCTGTCAGATCTTTCCCTTTTGAGTTGACTGTATTGATGATGGGAGTGATCCAGAAGAAATACAGGGTGCCAATGATGGATTCCACGTTACTGGAAATCACAGGTTGATGGTGCTCATCTAGAAAGGGAGAGCCTCTTTTTACAGTCGCTGTTGTATACACAAGATCCAGCCCAATAACGACGGGCAGTATTGATATCAAGGATACAGTGGATGTTTGATACCATGACACCAGCGCATTACCGATGGAAGAAACCCATAATATCAGATATAAAACAAAGAGATGTACATTCAATGTCCAGCCTACTAAATTGGGCAACGGGTATCTAATGGCTGTCATTGATAACACCAAGCAGTAAATCCAAGTGATAAAGGTGAAGGCAGATCCGATGGCGATATATACTGCATCATGCTGAGGTTGTTGCTGTTGTTGTATATGGACATAAAATACATAGACTGAAATGATTGTCAGTACCAACGTTTCAAAATTGAGCCGATGCAAGCGATTTCCATTGGCAAAAGGCATGTTGACAATGTCTCTTTCTGTGTCTTTCTTGATGGGCACGGATGGATCTGCATTGCGCTGTTGGCGATGACTGTAGGCTCGTTGTATGGAGAAGATCAAGGAACTAGCAGTCAAGACTACAATCTGACAGATGGAGAGCCAAAACGTAATGGGTATTTCAGAGATGGGCTCCATTCTTGAAGGCAAATTAAAGGAAGAAAAAGGAGAAAGAAAAGAAATCCAGTGTGTCAGCAGTACTTTAAACGGCTATCAATGGAAATTCCTTGGAAGTAGCAAATGTTGAAAAACAAGAATGAAAAGGGAACTGTTTATGCCTCATCCTGTATCTTTTTTCATCTCGATGAGAGACATAAATTGAACTTCAGATGATACAATACTCATCATCAGTTGCGAGAGAGCGCGCCCCTGACGACGGCTGGTATCTTTATGCCGTATTTGGAAATTTTCTGATCTGAAATAACATCATACATCTTACAACATGATAAATTTATGGTCCCTAGACACTTTCAAAGCCTCAAAAATAAGTTGATCTTACAAGTATTTTGGTGGACTAGTGCAATTGAATACAAGACTTTCAAACAGACAGTATGATGGACAGTAGTACTATGCAATTCGCCACTTACTTTTCATTAGCTTCAAAGCATCTTCATGATTAGAAGGGCATCGAGTTTGCCAGCCGGCCAACCAGCCAAAATAAATTCCAACTCAGACTCACATCTTTCACTCGAAATGGTAATATTCGTTCGATTTTCGACTTCCTTGAACTATTTTGACATATTCGACTATATAAGTTGCAGTAATTCCTCAAACCTCCCTTAAGCTTCCTAAGAGTACTCTTCGAGATGCATCTACTGGTGCTAGTTTCAAAAGACATTTTGAATAAACTTATTGAGCAATCTTTGAAAATCTTAAATGAAGTTTTTGGCCAAAATGTCGAGATTTGACATAGAAAGGTTCCACAAACAAAGCTTCAGGTGTTGCTTTGGACCAAGAGGATCATTTTGTTTTTATATATACCATAGTGGAAGTCTTCATTTCTTGGGGCGAAAAACGCAATTGTTTGGTTTTTGATGAAATCCACGAGGTGTCCCTCATGGTTTTGAGTCGATTTTCGACAATTCCAAAAAGGTTGAGCAAAGGTGTCAGGAAGTTAGTACCAGTCGAGAGCAATTGTTTGGTGTTACTCTGGCGGTCTAAAACGGCTTCTAACGCGAGAAATCACGACTTAAATAGACATAGCTTTTGCCGTATTATGCCCATTTTTGACTAGAAAGGGGTTATAGCGGTATGCTGCTTATTAGTATATGAAGCATCTCACATGTAAACAGATGTGGAACATCACATATGAGGTTTATCGCATACACTGCAATAAAAGCCAAGGCCTTTGGGATCGGGAAGTCTGTTAGGATCTCATTTTGACTGTATAATTACTTGATGCATTCCGTTTAAATGACCTTCATAGTGGTTGTTTGAGCAATATGCTCTCTGATACACTCGATAATAGTTGCTGGGATTACTTGCTTCTGGAATCCCTTCGTTTTTGCAATGTGGTACTTGGCCGACTGAATGTATAGCTGCCAGATACCTTTGGCAGATTATCTTTGAGGACAAAATTTTACCACAAGGTTGTCAGTAAAATTTTTCATTATTGATGTTTGGTATTGAATGCTTTGTCTATTTTTGAGTCAGTCTCCTGTCCTTTTTGTGAGCAGTAAAAAGGTGGCTATGATAGGAATGCCTGTTTAATAAGCGTCCACCACAAATAGTACAGTAAGTGGAAGTATCTATTGTAGCTTTTGCTTTGTGATGTTGACAGACTGAACTCCATGTGCAAATCTACAATACTTTCTGTACTCCTGTTTGGAAGAATGAATATGGCCATGAGCCTTGCAACAGAGTTGGATCATCAGGATCAGAAAAAAAAATATTTACGGACAGACAGCATACTTTCATTGCTTCTTGTTACTAATAAAAAGCTAATTACAGTAAGATTTGGATGCATTTGATCAGTGATTTCTCACATTAGAAGCCGTTTTAGACCGCCAGAGTAACACCAAACAATTGCTCTCGACTGGTACTAACTTCCTGACACCTTTGCTCAACCTTTTTGGAATTGTCGAAAATCGACTCAAAACCATGAGGGACACCTCGTGGATTTCATCAAAAACCAAACAATTGCGTTTTTCGCCCCAAGAAATGAAGACTTCCACTATGGTATATATAAAAACAAAATGATCCTCTTGGTCCAAAGCAACACCTGAAGCTTTGTTTGTGGAACCTTTCTATGTCAAATCTCGACATTTTGGCCAAAAACTTCATTTAAGATTTTCAAAGATTGCTCAATAAGTTTATTCAAAATGTCTTTTGAAACTAGCACCAGTAGATGCATCTCGAAGAGTACTCTTAGGAAGCTTAAGGGAGGTTTGAGGAATTACTGCAACTTATATAGTCGAATATGTCAAAATAGTTCAAGGAAGTCGAAAATCGAACGAATATTACCATTTCGAGTGAAAAATGTGAGTCGGGGATTTAATCAGTTTTAGCCAGCAAATGCAGTGGACATATCAACCTGACATGCGCTTCGCCTTTATTGTATACATACAGAACAAGTACAGCATACGTTATAGAAACCGCTCCTCAGACCCAAATCACGAAAGGGCATATTACCGAATTCAAACAATCCAGACCCGTATTGTGCAACTTGTAATCGCAAGTATTCGTCATTGCGAAACGGTAAATGGAACAGAGAACCTTGAAACAAAATAACATAAGCGCATCCTTTTTTGGTATTCCAACGTCAACAGGCCCAAAGCACTATTGCTATATTTGCTTTATGAATTACGGCGACTTTAAAAACATCTATCTCTTAGCATCGCTTAAATGATGTATCTTTAAATCGACCAGCTGATGAAGCGTCAAATACTGATGATATTAATCTTTATTGCTGCGTCTGCAACAGATCATACGATAGCAAAGATAATTTCAGAAATTATCCACGAGCAATGCATTGCATTGGAGCCAAAAACAAAGACAAAGAGAAGTTTCGACCAAGTGTGGATGCTCCATATACTCATTATTGTGTATGTTATTGCAAGTATAGTTCAAAGAAGAGTATTGCGCAGATTCACAACATGAAGCGACGAACACCACGCAAGACGGATATCAAGATTGGTGTGAATGGCCTACACCTCTATTGCGCACAATGCAAAAAAGCGCTTTATGGATATAGTTTTATTGGGCACCTGGAGAGAGCTCACAATTTACGAAAAAAAAAACCAAACAAGGATCCGTTACAACATGGCAAGCAATAAACATTACATTTTGATCCAGGAGCATCCATGCTACCTTCTAACGTCTCATGAATATACCGCAAAGCTGGAATAGCACAAACCTCCATTTCACATGAGAGCTGGTAACGTGCGTTTCTACTAAACAAGGCATTTATCTATTACGATTAGTTCATGCACTCTGTGAGAGTTTCCAACGAGAAATATACATGTAACAAACCAAAAAATTGAATACAATCCCATTTTTCTTTTTTCAATCTCTCATTGAAATCCCTCTCTTTTATTTCTCCTTCCACACATTTACCTCTTCTCTCCATGGTTGTAGCAACACAGCTGGCAGTGAGCAGCGCCGCATCGCAAGTACCGCTATGGATTCGTATATGGACACTCGTTAGTTCCCTTATTGTCATTTGGGTAAGTAGTGAATCGAAAAAAGCAGTTGTCATGGAGTGTTATTGACTCGAATGTGTATTTTATTTGAAAACAGGATTTCGGGTATTGTTTGCTTAGGTAAGAAATCATTCTGAACAAAGCAATAGGAAAGAAAAGCGTTAAAAGAAGCATGTTTATTATTAGGCCTTTGAGCATGGAAGGTGGATCACTCAACTTTTTATGGAAACCTTATAATCTGTACGCGAAGGTAAATAATGGAAGTATCAAGGAGAATAAAAATAGGCCGTAAATACTCAATAATCCTCCACCTACATCTACCTGCCACCATCACCACCACCAGATTGATTACTTTTACGGTTTGCCTGCTTTTAATTCCCAAGATGGTTTCACAGGAGCTCAAGGTACAACAAGATCCAGAGAAAGAGCACAATGTTATTATTCCTCTAACCTATGGCAATGCAGCTTTCATGAATGGTATCGAAACGTTGTTGAATTTCACCTATCTCGGGTTATTAAAGAGCGGCCATGTCAATGTGGGCCAAGCTAATCTGGTTGGATTTTCTGCTGCTTTGATGACACTTTCAAAGACTGTCTTGTACTGGCTTATTGAACCATTCTCAGGATACCAACATATCGGCCATAACAGCTTGAGGGATTTGATCGTTTTATGGATTGTAAGCGGGCTAATGCTATAGCATGTGTATATGCAAATGACTCAATGGCGGTTTTTTTTTCATAGGTCCCTAATGGCCTTTGGATTGTGGTACCTGCAGCCATCGTTTACACACTAGGAAAAGATCTTAATCACCGCTTAAATGTAAACTTGAAACAGGATTAATATCTCTTATTCAGGAAAATAAAACCAACAATTGTCCTTTTCCCCGTGGCCCGTAGCACTGGAGAAACGGCTTCTAAAATCACACACTCTATTTTGCATAAATATAAAAAGGGATCATTGTTTCTCTCTCTCTCTCTTTTTTTTCCATTATCATACACATACTTCTTATTATCATCATTTACCATGGTTCAAACCAACTTGCTTGACACAGTGATTACCAAATTCGAGATTAGAGACATCCGTTTCCCTACTTCAAAGAGCTTGGATGGCTCAGATGCCATGAACAAAGACCCTGATTATTCTGCTGCCTATGTTATTTTCTACACGGACGTTGCTGATTTCGAAGGTCATGGTATGACATTTACTTGTGGTCGTGGTAATGAAACTGTCTGTTGCTGTATTGAACAGCTTTCAGTCAAGTTTGTCAACAAGAAGCTGAGAGATCTGGTTGCTGACATGCGCGCTACACATCAAATCTGTACAGGTGATTCTCAATTGCGTTGGATCGGTCCTGAGAAAGGTGTGATTCAACTTGCTACTGGTGCCGTTATCAATGCTATTTGGGATCTTTGGGCCAAAGCTGTCAATAAGCCTGTTTGGAAGTTGGTGGTTGACATGACTCCCGAGGAGTTCGTCCAATGCATCGATTTCCGTTACATTACAGATGTCATTACACCTGAGGAAGCTATTGAAATGTTGCGTGAGAACGTAGCTACCAAGGCCGAGCATGAAGCAGACGTAAGAGCACATGGCTACCCCAGTTACACCACATCTGCAGGATGGCTCGGTAAGTGTTTGCACTAGTAGAGATTCAAAGTGTACTGATGTGGGTGGACAAATACAGGCTACAGTGATGACAAGGTCCGTAGATTGATACGTGAATCCAAGGCTGAAGGCTTCACCTACTTTAAGCAAAAGGTCGGTAGCGACAGACAAGCTGATATCCGTCGCGCTGGTATTATTCGTGAAGAAATCGGTGATGAAGGTGTACTGATGATGGATGCTAACCAAGTTTGGGACGTACAAGAAGCTATTGATTGGATGCAAGATCTCTTACCCTTCAACCCTCTCTTTATTGAAGAACCTACCTCTCCAGATGATGTGCTCGGGCATGCTGCTATTCGTAAGGCTCTTTATCCTCGTACCAAGGTCGCTACGGGCGAGCATATTCAAAATCGCATCATTTTCAAGCAGTTATTCCAAGCTCAAGCCATCGATTTCTGTCAAATTGATTCATGTCGTGTCGCTGGTGTCAATGAAGTTCTTGCTATTCTCTTGATGGCCAAAAAGTTCAATGTGCCTGTATGGCCTCATGCTGGTAAGTGCTCTACACAAGTAGCAACAGCTCGTTTGAATTTGACAATGGATTTTAGGTGGCGTTGGCTTGTGTGAGTATGTCCAACATCTTTCGCTTATTGATTACATTTGTGTCACTGGTACTACAAAGGGTCGTGCCTTGGAATATGTGGATCACTTGCATGAACACTTTTTAGACCCTGTTGTCATGAAAAATGGTAGATACACTGCTCCTCTTGCTGCTGGTTACTCCATCCAAATGAAGCGTGAATCTATCGAAGATTACACTTTCCCCACTGGTAAAATTCACTCTACAAACTAGATCCCTATCGTCTCTCAAGACCTTTGTGATTATATAATAATACCTCATAATACATTCACATAAAGCCCACGCTAAATATGCTTGTCTCAGTATCTGATGTAGTCAATGTTATAACTGATGTTCCATGTGTCTAATTGATAAACGCATTGAAGAACAATCAGACCGGATTTTAATAGAAGCTTGCAAGCAAGCAAGCACCAACAATAGGAGGTAGTACTTGCTTGCTCGCCATCTATACGGATGCCCTTTCCCGGAATTCAAAAAAAAAAGCAACATCGTCTTTGCTTTTAGCTCGAAATGATCATTTTCTAGATTTATTTGCGAATAACAGAATGATGAAATAAATGTAAACATGCTTTAAAAGTTGAAAAGGGAAAGAGTGATGCTATAGTGTATATAAGTTGTTGAGGTGGAAAAAAACCAGCGGAAAGGGGGGGGGGTATTTTAGTGCTTTTTAGATTTCAATTCATATTCATTGTTGCTGCTCGCTGGTATCTCACTTGAGGAAGAAGCAGAACCTTGTAAAAATGTGCTTGGATGATGCACATCCACAAACTCCTCACTGTCATTATCTAAGCTGTACTTTGGTGGAGGCTCTATGGGTTCACTGACAGCCGTTCCCTCCTCCTCTTCTTCCTCCTCCTCCTCGAGTGGCCTAAGCAATGTCTGCGCATCCTCCTCGTCTCTAGTCAATCTGATATTGTGATGGCTCTTTTGATCCGTCTTGTGCTTGATAAATGTATCAATAACCCAAAATTGCATAATGTTCATCACAAGTGGAAATCTGTGATTCGAGATCAAATCAGCATAGGGCTCAACGCAAAGATCTTGACACATTTACTTACATCAGCATGACAAATACAACCTGAAGTTTGTAATTGCCCACAGTCCACTGCAATACCCAATCACCGAAATCTTCAATCCAAGGACATAGATGAAACAATCCCACTACAATGACCTTCATCAAAAACAAGCTGACAATGTATACAATGAGCTGTTTGGACCATTTCTTGAGTTGCTCCATTAACGGAGGCTCTCCATACACTCCACTTTGAAATCCTGTAAGTTGCAGCCTCAGGATAAGGTATTTGAAGCCAGTCAAAATGCACCAGAGAATACCGATGCCCAACGTTGTATCAACAAAAATATTCAAAAAGTACCTAAGCATCATCATGAGCACCCACTATGCTAAAGCAACATGAGATACACACATACCAAACACACGGATTTGATTTCTGTCCTTCTTCTGGTTTCACACCGAAAAATACAGCCGCCACGACATTGAGTGAGTGGATCATGATACCACCTGCCAATTGCTTGCTCACATCCAGTACCCTAAACAAACAGCCAACATGTCAATCAGACCTACTAGCACAACGCCCAAGATACACATGGTGCTCCATACCAAATCCTGATGGGCCTCTGTGGCTGCTCTCGTTGTCTTTTGAAAATCAATGTTGAAAACGCAGTTGTAGCCAAACATAATTGAATGAATATGCCAAAGCCATCCATGAGCTGGCACCCTGCTTTTGGATCATGTTCTCCTTCTGGTGGTGGTGGTGGCGCTCTATATTCCAACATTGGTATTTTATAAAAGTAGGAAGGGAAAGAAAGAAAGAGAATCAATTTCTATCAACTAAACCAACTTATACGGCAGCATGCGGCTTTTTAAACAAGACCGTTTGTCTCTGTGCGTGTGTCCCAAATAAGCACTCTTTCTTTCTTTCATATTGGACTTGTTGCTGCGAAAAAAAAAAATAGAGGTGATAGCATGAGCTCTCAAGATGAATCCAATGATCCCTATGGGGCTATCAAGTTTGGCGAGTTTCGAAAGTACATGCAAAATAAGCAATCCAAACTCAAGCGACAACAAAAGGAATTGTAAGACGATCAATTGACTTGGATGATGTGGTGGATGGTAACAGCTGCATTTCACATAGGGGAGAGCAAGCAAGCCAGGCACTACCACAAATGTTTGCTGGCACCAGCATTTACATCAATGGATACTGTAATCCACCTGCTATGGATTTGCGTAGGATGATTCTACAGCATGGAGGAGACTATCAACACTACTGTAAGATTTTAGGTATATGCATGTTGGCATTTTATCTCATGGCCGGATTATTTTATTTGGCAGTAAAGAAGCTGAGTGTAACACATATCATTGCTACCAATTTGACAAACTCTAAACTACAAGAATTTCGGTATGTTCCATCAAGCGTTTTATCCTATTGAAGGCTAAATGTTCACCTACGTTGTTAGATCATACAAAGTCGTTCGACCTGAATGGATCACAGAATCAATCCAAGCTCAGCAACTACTACCATGGCAGCAATATCGTCTTGTTCCAAGAGCAACAGCACAGCGAGAGCTAGTGTTCAATACCAGCAGCAATAGCAACAACAACAACAACAACGAGACTACAGCAGAAGCATCAGAAAAGATCACAGGCGAGGCATTGAATGCACATGTACTCTCCAATGATTGGGCTCGACATATCTCTACCGTCAATCCGACCTTCATCAAAAGATATTACGAGACATCGAGATTGCATTATTTATCGACCTGGAAAGCAGAACTCAAGGACATTGTCGAGCAGCTGGAAGAAAAGTACAAGTCTGATCCAAGTATGTTGAGTAGAAAGCGCAAGAGATCGTCAGCATCGTATACACGCGTTGTCATGCACGTGGATTTTGATTGTTTCTTTGCCTCTGTCGGTATCAAAGATCGGCCTCACCTAACAGAGTTACCTGTATGTCAAATGATTGTCTGTACTGGTGAGTGATTTAACAGTTAGCATAGGTAGCCGTGTCGCACAGCAAAGTAGTGAGTGAAGCCTCTTCGAGTGATATTGGTTAGAAAAAAAAAAGAAAAAGACATACGATGTTCAAAGACTAAATATAGAATTGTAGCATCTTGTAACTATGTGGCTCGCTCTTATGGGGTTCGTAATGGCATGACGTACAGTGCTTAAAGTAGAGATACTGATATCATGTGTGCTGATACCTTTCTTGATAGTGTCGGCATGGCAAAAGGTCTGTGTCCCTCTCTACAAGTGATACCGTAAGTCATTTGGACATATCAAAGTATCCATCAGACATTTAACTCACAGCAAACAGCTATGAATTTGAACAGTACAAGTCGATTAGTAAGATCTTTTATGAAATCTTGTTCAACTATGCCGATGAAATGCAAGCTGTTAGTGTCGATGAGGCTTTGCTGGAGGTAGGATCTCATTTTACTCAGCCCGATGAGCATAGCCAAGAAGAACGACAGGAGGCCTTAGCGAAACAGATTCGTGATGAGATACGACAAGCAACAGGATGCGAAGCAAGTATTGGCGTGGCTTCCAACATTCTATTGGCGAGAATGTCTACAAAGAAGGCAAAACCTGCTGGACAGTTTATTTGTAAATCCATACGGGATGTGGAAGAGCTGCTAAACAATCAAGAGGTTACTGACTTGCCTGGTGTAAGTAACAAAAAGTTTGTAAGAGTGTGTATGGTGGCACTTACTGTTGTTGGATGGATAGGTTGGTTACGCTATTGGCGATAAACTTAAAGCACTGGTATGTATCCCAAAAAGCAGCTTGTAAAATCAAGACATTGACATACTTTTTTTTTTCAACAGAATATCGAGTTGGTGAGCGATGTGAGAAATGTGCCATTGTATGAACTACAGGCTAAATTAGGCTTGAAAATGGGGCAAACATTGTACAATTTTTCACGGGGAATCGATGACAGGCCTTTGATTACCAATCAACAGAGGCAATCCGTCAGCGCAGAAGTGAGTGTAAGTTCTGGATCTTTTCTTTTCTTGTCAGTGTCTGATAGGTAGGGTAGTGGGGCGTGCGATTTGAACATGAAGAGAATGAAAGAGAGTTCGTAGAGGGACTAGCCAAAGAGGTAGCGGAGAGATTACAAAAGTACAATGTCAAGGGCAAGAACATTACAGTCAAGGTACCTACACTCTGAACTAAGGTACATGGGAAAAATACTAATGCCAAGTGGCCAGATTTTGAAGAGAAAAGAAGATGCTACGGAAGCCTCAAAAAACCTTGGCCATGGACGCGTAGATACGTTTTCGAAATCATATACCCTGGGATACTTTACCGATAATCCTGCTATTATTAACAAGCATGTCCATTCGATGCTAAAATCATTTCAATTCTCGAGTGCTGATATCAGAGGCGTAGGCATTCATATCACTAAACTGGATAACCAAGAAAAGCTCTCTCGTAAGTGGATGTTTGATGTATTGATTTTACCTGTGTGCGGATATTAAGAGCTGTATAATAGCTGACCAAGGTGTGCTCAATTTTACAACTCGTCCAGCAGTGGTGAACGAACAGCAGCAGCAGCAGCAACAACAACAACAACAACAACAACAACAACACCAAGCAATGGAGGCAGGCGAATTAAGCAAGCAAGCATCTAAAGAAACAATGGTAAGGTGTCATATTCATCTTGGTAAGTTTCCACGACTTCTGATAGCTAAAGATAGGAAGTAGACCCAATTGTGTATAATGAGCTGCCTGAATCTGTCAAACAAGAATTTGAATCAACATATGAGTTGGTTTTCAAAGAATCCGCGCATAACAACGACCTCAGCGAACATCAGAGTACTACTCATAATATACCCCAAGAAACTATACCTCTCACTGACACATCTTTGCCTGAACTACCGCCATGGTCTCAACTTGATCCACTCTCACTGCTTGCTCTTCCGGATATAATGCGCGAGCAAATTCTCAAGAGATATGCATCCAATGAGCAAGTAAGATCCATGGAGCCAGTGGTGAAAAGCCCACCACGCACACCTACACATCAAAGAACAGGGCCTTCTGTATTCAATGTTTCAAAAACCACTTGCACTACTTATAAAACAAGAGGTAGTAGCAGCAACAGTAGAAGCCGCACCATCACCCAAATGTTCCAATCTTTAGTCAGTCCTTCTTCTTCTACTCGATCCTATGCACCGTGGAACCCTTCCAGTCCATCACTTTCTGCCAACAATGACACTACACCTACTAGTCGCCATAGTGGTCGTTTTCATTCCGTGTTGCAGGTACAGCAGCAACAACAGCTAGACAATGAGTCGGATGATGATCTACCTTATGATGCAGACGTTTGGAATCAACTGCCACAAGATATGAAGGATGAGTTGTTGGAGGAACACCGTCGATTGAAGCGACTCAAACTACAGCAGCAGCAGCAACAACAACACATACAAAAAGAGTCAACAGTGAGCTATCCCCGCGATCACCCACAAAAGGTTGATTTAGAGCCTTTCAGAAAGGAGCCTTCCTTGCAAGGTGTAACAGATATTCAAGAGATCCGAGCCTTGTTGCATGAATGGGTTCACACTTTTGAGGATATGCCTGAGCCAGAAGACGTGGAGACCATCTCCAACTATCTGGTGGAGCTGGTGCATTATGCAGATTTAGAAAAAGTGCAGCTCTTGGTCTCTTATATGGTGTATCTGGTTCGAGATATGGATTCTGTGGATTGGAAGCAATGTACAAGTCAAATACAGGCCAATGTATCGAACGCAGTGAAATCCGTGTATGGATGCCCACTTGATTTTTAAAAAAGAAATAAACCGGGTTTTTTTTTTATTGGGATGTAGTTGTGGGTGAAGAATAAGAAGAGCTAGAGGGAGATGAGGAAGGTGCGTCTACGTGTGTGAGGAATGTATGATTTTTACTATCGTCGTTGCCATGGTTACTGTTGTCGCTGTTGCCAGTACCGTTGTCAAAACCAACTACAGACAGAGGTGCGTCAGTCGTGGCGGTAGTGTTTGGAGCTGTATCCATCATGGCTTGAGCGTTATCTACAGTAGTGTTGTACTCGAATTTAAGTTTCTTGAGGTCGTCGGCGCCCAACGAAGATGTTCCTGTTGTCAATGCAGTAGTTTTAGGGTCAGTTGCAGTAGTACCAGAGAGAGCATAATGGTGTTGCCAATGGGCACTCTCTCTAGATTGCTGATGACGTTGTGTTGATTCAAGCCAATTTGTTGGGATAGGAGATGCAGGCACAAAACTTTCAAGACTTGTTGTATCACTGGAAGAAGCAGTAGTCATTATATGTTGTTGTTGATTGTCATTTAATAAATGAGAATGATCGACATGGTGATGATGGTGATGCATGTGTGTAACTACATTGTCTGATGCTGCAAAGGCTGCTGCTGCTGCTGCTGCTGCTGTTGCATTATGGTTTGAATACAGGTCATGCTCGTTTGACATCATTTGATGAGACATGTCATAATCATGCAAAACGTCCGTAGGCGATTGTTTGTGTTGTTGTTGGTGGGGCTGATGCTGTGGTTGTTGCAGTGTGTGATCGAAATCCATGCCAAATTCAAAACTGAAGCCACCACCAGAGGAACGGCTGTTTGTTGGCATAGGTGAGCTTTGATAAGAAGGTAGCCAGAAACTGTTGCCATGTTGTTGTTGCTGATGATGGAAACCAACCAACCCACCATGACCGTGGTTTGTTGTGTGATCCATAAACGAAGACACGCCGAGAGATGTTGCATTGTTTGTATTGAATACCGAGTGGTTGGTAGTAGCAGTAGCAGCAAGAGCACCTGTGTTGAGATTGGGTAGCTCCAAAGACATCATGTGCCGTTTAGGATGATGGTGTTGAGATATGAGCTCAATTGAATCTACATTGTCACTGTTTTGTCGACCGCGCTTGAGTTGAGATCTTCTTGTAGTAACGGCACCAGAGGTATTCAGGGCTGTCTTTCTACTGCTAGTGTTGCCGATATTGGACATGGGATCATGCGTTGCTGAGGAAGACGATGACGAAGACAAGACAAGAGGATCGTCATCTGGCATACTGACTGAAGAGGAGGATGAGGAGGATACCACTTTTCTTTGCTGAGCTGCACCACTACTAGCAGTTGATTTGGGCCCTCTTCTGACTGTACCAACCACGGAAGGCACCAGGCTCAAATGGCGATGCGTAGGAAGCGATGTAACGATGGGCAGGTCTTCGCCTTGTCTGAGTGGAGGAAATGCGTCAATGATGCCTTGTCCGTCTAGCAGAGAACGAATATAGTGTGACATAAGTTGTTGAACATGGTTCTCCATCATCTGAGGTTCATACACCAAATCTGCGCGCATCAGGCCCACCATATCAATGTTCTTGCTGTTGCAGTCGACATCGTTGGGTATGATATCAATAAAGAGACCGGCTGCCAACTGATAGCGACATGGCTCCCCCTTGACAAAAATCTTTAGTAAATCTTGCGTGGTTTTTGCATTGAGATTGATCCAATTTCCATGACCAGCATATAACCGGTAACAGCTTTTGTTTGAAAAAGAAGATGCAGCAGTGCTTGATGTAGTCATGGCATTGGAAGAAGCAGGGTTTGACATTTGACAACCTTTTAATATTTTGATGAGTGAGAGAAAGAGAAAGAAGGTAGTTGATCTCATCTCAAGGATGAAAGAAACATGTCGTTTATATAGACCCCCAGGAAAAAAAAAGTCGCCAGTCTAGGTGCGTGAGTATCATATCTATTAGCTAACAAGCGAGGGTTATTTGTTTGTCAAATGTCATTGAATTATCATTGTCGTTCATGACCGACGTAGAGAGAGAGGCAGAGGATGATATAAAGGGGTGAGAATCATTGCTACCAATTGATCCGAGATGATAACGACAGGTTGTGAACAGCCATTTAATTTCACATGTTGAAAGAATAGTTTCTCTCTCTTTGACAACATTCTTTTTCTGTATCTATCAATAATGCTCATATTTGACATAAAGTGCACAATAGACAGATGGCTTATATGGCAGGGAACAATAAAGCCACTGAACATCTCGATTGACAACCTGGTGGTATTTGCATGTCAGAGAGCTTGAACCACAATAGAAAATACGAAAAGAGATGTCTGCAATCATCAAACATGGATAAGATGTAGCTGAATCTGTCAGTTACACTCCACCCATACGAATTGCCATATGCAACCATATTACACCATGCCAATGTTATAACATACTGCCTTGAATGCACACACAATTGTTGATGTCTTGGGGGAGATCACTATCGAGGCAGCCCCTCCTCCCCCCCCAAATGAGAGAAAAGGAGAGAGGTGAGGCACACAAAGCATTCAGATTACTTCGTACCACTATGGAGTTTCAAGACCATAAATCGTACAGACGCTCGTGCTGTCTACATGATGATACACGTTGTTTTCCAATCAAAAACTCCTACACTACTCGATATTGCTTGTTTGCATTATAAATGAGGGCACGTTGATAATTGGCCTAATTAAACCCATCCAACCCCTTCAAATCCTTAGTTTGGGAACGTTGCATTCGTTTTTGCAATATTGTGAATTTATAGTGTGGAAGTAGTAGTATAAATAAATAGGCAACACTTCCATACATTTTGTTTATATTTTGCTTTTCTCTTTTTTTCTTTTTCTCTTCTTACTTGTTCTCAAACAATACCCTCTTTATAACAACACACACGCATAAAATGGTAAGTAGATCTCATGGGAGAGAGTGAGAGAAAGAGGCTGTCATGCTGACACTTCTATCACAGGATGACAACTACGATATTATTGTTCTCGGTACTGGTTTAACAGAATGTATTCTTTCTGGTATCTTTTCCGTTGAAGGCAAAAAGGTGCTCCACATGGATAGAAACGACTACTATGGTGGTGAATCTGCTTCTTTGAACTTGACTCAACTCTACCGCAAATACAGACCTGATGCTGAGGTGCCTGCTGAATTGGGTCGCGATCGTGATTACAATATTGACTTGATCCCCAAGTTCATGATGGCTAACGGTGAAATCGTGCGATTCTTGACTCATACCGATGTCACTCGTTACCTTGAGTTTAAGCAAATTGCTGGCTCCTTTGTCTACAAGGATGGCAAGATCTCAAAGGTACCTGCTAGCGAGACTGAAGCTATCTCTACCTCTTTGTTGGGTCTGGTCGAAAAGCGTAGATTGCAAAAGTTTTTCGAGTTTATTCAAAACTGGAGAGATGACGATGAATCCACTCATGAAGGTACTTATTAGCAAGTAAAGCGTGTATTTCATAAGCTAAACAACATTCTAAATTTAAGGCTTGAACCTGGACGTAAACACCATGGTGGATGTATATGCAAAGTTTGGTCTTGAACCTGGAACCCAAGATTTCATTGGTAAGAAAGTAGCAAAGAGTGATACAAGGGGATATGGGGCACTAAAATCCGTTATTACACAGGTCATGCCATGGCACTTCATTTGGACGATCAATACCTCACCAATCCAGCCCGTGAAACTACAGAAAAGATTGTTCTTTACGTCGCTTCCATGGCTCGTTACGGCAAGAGCCCTTACATCTACCCCCTCCATGGTTTAGGTGAACTCCCTCAATCCTTTGCTAGGTAAAGCTGGAAGATTCTATACTCCAATCATATCTCCTAATCTCTTTATCTTTTGCAACCCCTTATAGATTGAGTGCTATTTACGGTGGTACCTATATGCTTGACAGAGCAGCTGATGAGATTCTCTATGAAAACGGTGTTGCCGTTGGTGTTCGTTCCGGATCAGAAACTGCCAAGGCCAAACAAATCATCTGTGATCCATCTTATGCCAAGGACAAGGTCAAGACCACAGGTCAAGTTGTGCGTGCCATTTGCTTCTTGAAGCATCCTATTCCCAACACAACTGAAGCTGATTCGGTACAAATTGTGATTCCTCAAAACGAATTGGGCCGCAAGCACGATGTCTATGTTGCCAGTGTCTCTAGCAACCATGCTGTGTGTCCCAAGGACATGTATTTGGCTATCGTGTCTACTATTGTCGAAACTGAAGATCCTGAGAGTGAAATCAAGGCTGGTTTGGATGTATTGGGTCCTATCCACGACAAGTTTGTTCATGTCTCTGCTATTGAGGAACCTACCTCAGATGGTAAGGCCGAGCAAGTCTTTGTATCAAAGTCTTATGACGCTACTTCTCACTTCGAAACTGTTTGTGATGATGTAAAGAGTATTTACAAGCGTATGACTGGAAGTGACCTTGTCCTCAAAAAGAGATCTGAAAAGGATCACATTGAGGCTTAAATTTCACTTTCCATCTCTACATTAACTAGTATATAAATCACTCTTTTATCTTTTCTGCATTACTCACTTATCAAGCACTCTTTCTCTAATCCCAATTTTCAAATAAAATGTCGTCCTCCACATCAAATTTCAAATTAAACATGATCTGTAGAGCAGCAAGCACTCAAAAAAATTTTAAAGATCCGTAATTTACTCCACACACACTGCCAGTGGAGGGCCATGACAGCTTTTAGGACCCCTTGCAACATTGCAATTTATTTCTCTTTTTTACTTGCATTTTCTTTCTTTCATTACACCATGTTTTCACAAGTTCGTAAATTCTCTTCACTCTCCCGAGTGATTCAAGCCCCTGCCTCAACCACAAAGCTGTCATTTGCTGCTACTCAACAATTAGCATCACCTGCACCATCCGACAAGAGTACGAATCAGACACAATTCTGATAATTTGATGTATATATTGACATCTATACTTCATTAGGTATTGAGAAGGCTACTCTTGAATTACTCAGTGATACCGTTCAAAGTAAGTGATTGGGGGATCTCCAGTAGATACAACAGTGTGTGTCTGATTCAACATTTCGTTTCGCAGAGGATAAAGCCAGACCTATTTCTGAAGCAGTTCAACGTTACCAAAAAGTGCATCATGAAGGCGATATCTATCACCCTGAAGATTTAAACGACACACGTTATAGAGAATCCTTACGTCAACGTCGTGGAAAGCCTACACCTCCTACTGAAGATCCATTCGAAGTGTTGGGTTTAGATCCTCTTCATGAATACAAAAATTTCAGACTTTTGACACATTTCGTTTCTGATATGGGAAAGATTTTACCTCGTGAGCAAACTGGTGTTAGTGCAAAGAATCAACGTAAATTAGCAAAGGCTATCAAGCGTGCGAGAGCAATGGGTAAGTGATAACAAGTTATTTTGATGGAATGGCATGATTGATTTTTTGATGGAAAATAGGTTTGATGTCAAGTACTAGCAAGCAATACGATTTTAGAGTTTAGAGAAGAGTTAATGACTAATATTTCATCATTTATAAAATGCCTTTTGTTTCTGTATAATATGCAATACTTGAATGGGAGGACTGGATGAAATGTCTGGTTGGCAAGAGCACGACTGGTGACATTTGCAGTGAAATTGAGGTACCAGTGCACCTGTCAAATGCTATTAGATTTAGTTTGCACAAGACCCAAATGCTGTTCGAGTTCCTGCGTATTTGGAGGGCAGGCATATTGATAAGAGTGATTATCTCTCTCATTACAATTATGTGATTCAGCTGAGTATTCTATTAATACAAAAAAAAAAAATTGTTTGGCGTGAAGGGCACTATTTGTTTCCTCGAGCTCTGTTCCCCTATTGTCTGTTTTCTGAAGGGTATTGCTATGTGCGCCATCGATTATTACTCTCTTCTCAATTTTGCACCATAAATCATTTCCTGATACTCACAGCACTATTACTTATTACTTCATTGCAATTCCTATCTGCAGAAGTCAACTTGGTTCTCTCCCATGCCCAAGCAACGGTTTGCTCCTAAGGCTTCCACTCTCAAGGCCTTTTCTGCTCTTGCTGTCAAAAGCTCAAATGTCAGTAATGAAATTGTGGCCTTAAAGTTTGTTGAAGGATCTAAAAAGGCGAGACGCAAGAAAATATTATCTAGTGACGAATTAGATGATCGAGTCGTGGAGCTTTTGAAGATTCAAGTCTATGAAGCTTACCAGTACAAATGGAAAGAGTTCTTTGGAAAGCCGGGACCCCCTAACACAGTCGATGACTTTAAGAAGACGCTTTCAACCAAGTCATTACCCAACAAGGCGGTGTCCAACGTTCAAATAGTGATAGAAAAAGAGCTGGGCGACATACAACCAAGATGGAATCACCAAGTGGTTGACTGATTACGAAACACGAAGAAAACCTCCAACACGACATACAAAAAATCATTCATCAACGGGTTGAAGAAGAAGCTAGCCAAGGCACAAGCAGCAGCATCTAAAACTGGTGAATTAAGTGTTAATGAATCAAGTGGATCAAAGGAGGGGGATCAAGCGCTGGTGAATCTGAAGTTGACATTGCTTGCTGAAGGCAGTAGATCAGAAGCAGATATTGTTCAAGTTGGTGGTGCTGGAATTGGTGAGACAACTAGTGGAACGATGGTTCATGAAACCGAAGAGCTTCGCAGTGCATCCCGATCTTTGAAGACCATGAATCATCCTCGCTTTGATTACAAAGTCTTGCACGATTGTGTGCGAGAACCCTCTTTATCCACGACGAGTACATTCCAATGCAACCACTATGAACCTTCATTTGCAAGGTACTGCAAACGTTGCGCAAATTGGGTGTTCAGACATCATTTCATATCCAACGTTCAGGCGCAGACATAGCACAGATCAGATATAACATTGCAGAAACAAAGAAGTAGTAGGTAAAAATCGGCCAATTGATTTTCAGACACCGATTTCGGAGATTTTGGTCTATTTGAGACCCCGCTTTTGCCCTCTAAACAATGGTGCAATTGAAATTTGCGTAGGTAGCATGGTTGTTGAGAAAAGGTAGAATTTAGAAAATAGTTCATTTTGAATAGATGCTGCTAGTAAAACTTTTTAAATTACTATATGAATGTGAGATGTATGTGTAGTAAAAGCTGTAGAGGGTACGTTGATTGAGTAAAGCATGTTTGATGTGGGATTATTGAGGGCGATGTCAATGAGTAATGACGAAAAATGTTCAAAATGACCGATTTTCAAAGAGCCATATCTCTGAATTTTACCAAGTACACCAGAGCTCCAAACTTAATAGTTTCTGTTTCTTTTTCAATTCTCTATACGATGGTATGGTTATTATAGATAAATAAAAAAAAAAGGTTGGATATCCCCTGCTTGTAGCTCATAAAATATATGATTTTGAGCAAATTTATGAAGGGAACGTACATCTGGTACTTAAAGCCCTCATATTATAATGGATATGACGTAGAGCTATCGAATGGTGTTTGTTTTGTGTGAATCCAGTGAGCATTTGTCGAGATATGGTCAAAAAGGGGTATCATGCAAAATCATGAATTTTTGTTCAAAATCTACGTGTGGTAGCAAGCAAAAAATCTGGTGACGATTTTTTGGTCAGGACAATATTTTCAATATTTCACGATAGAAGCATGCTAGAGCTTCAAGCAATAGCTCATTCGATAGGAAATTTTTTGATCTACAATGTCTAGTAATGCTTAACAAAATGTTTCGATGACAGATAGTGATTAATCCTTAGAAAACAGTCAAAAAATCGCAAAAACAATCGTACGAAATATCAGGTGAACAATGTACACCAGAAACTTGATATGGATACCATTGTATTCTCCTTTGAATTCTCTACAAGTTTTATATAGGTTTGAAGGGGTATTTAATATCAAGAAACGCGTAATTTTAAGGATGATAGATTTCGGAATCCCATGGATCATCATTCAGAACAATAGAAATTGAATCTCCGTTTAGCCTTCGCATGTGTACGCGACACAAGTATGAATTTGACCGAGCACTTTAAAAATTGAAGAGTACGAAAAGGGCCATATTTGCAGTAAAAAAGGAGTTGAAAAAAGTAGGTAGAATACTGTTAAAATCTTTCTTTATTCGAAATTAGGATGATGTGCAATAAAATGTATATTTTGCGCCTCTATTTATATTATTTGGTTTATATCCCTTATCTGGCAGCAGTTTAGTAGCTGCCGGTGATTTTATTATTTTGTACGAACCTTTCAGCACTTCGGGTGGTTTCCTGACCTACGCTTCGCTTTGGTGGAAACCAACCTACGTTCAAACGGCTCGCGCTGCCGCGGGCCTTTGGCTAATAATATCCCAAAATTAATATAGCTAAAATGTTAGAAGAGGAACCCTGATTGTTGGTTGATATATAATCACTAATCATATGAGTGTTTATGCTTCGGATGATTCTCACCGAAGCGTAGCGAAGGTAGAGAACCAACCTGCGCAGCGGCAGCTCGTGCTACTGATTGCTCTTGCGTATTTTATCAAAATACTGCTACTTTCATTTTGACCCTCTACTTACGCATAGTAACCCTTCATATTATCTGTGGATCTGATTCTTATGTGATGTTCTACATCCATATACACGTAGCTACTTCATATACGGGCAAGCAGCATACTGGTATTCCCACTTTTTAGTCCTTAGTGTCCCTAATACAGCAAAATATGAGTGCATTTGAGCTGCATTTTCTTGCGTTCAAGGCCGTTTTAGATTGTCAGAATAGTCCCAAATGGTTGCTCTCATCTGGCAGTTACTTTCTGACACTTTTGCTCGACTCTTTGGGGACCAAAAAAACATGGTCAAAAATCGACCAAAAAGCATGAGGTACCCCTCATGGCTTTCATCGAAAATCAAACGATCGCATTTTTGACCTTGAAAATGAAGACTTTTACTATGGTACATCTTGAATCTAAATGTTTCTATCGATCCAAAGCAACCTCTGAAATTATCTTTGTGGGACTTTGATATGTAAAATTTCGACATTTTGGCCAGAAACCTCTTTTCATATTTTTATAAATCATCTGATAAGTTTATTCAAATCATCTATATTACTTAGTACCATTGGATGCACCTTGAAAAGTACTCCAGGAAAGCTTAAGGAAGCATGGGGTGATCATCATATTTTACTTAGTCGAATCTGCAAAAATAGCTTAATCGAATCCAAAACCATCAAGATTTGTCCAATCTGGAACAAACCATGATTCTGGATTTGAATTAATTTTGGCTTGTGGGCCAGCTGGCAAACTCAACGCCCTTTTCATAATGCAATACAGTATTAAATGCTCTTGAAGCTTATGAAAAGTAGGTGGCAGGCCATAAAGCTATCGTTTATAATGGTATTTTATTGCATTCTATATCGTTCATAATAACATCGTCTTGCATTCTGTATTTAATAACGTTAGTCTGGACATTGACAATTCATGGGCTGCGTAAGATGTCTGCAATAAGTAGTGAAATCTCTGAGGCTCTGAGACGTCGTTCAAATAAAACGTTGTTGACAGCATTGAGTAAAGGAAAGAGGGTAGAACTAACAGTGGTTTTTGTTGATTGATTGTAAAATCATTGTTCTCATATGAGCCAGGCCAGATAGATGCCTTGAAACTCAGGTTCCATATTAGGGTTGTAAAGTGTCTAAGGACTGAACATTTATTATGTTATGATATTATTGTTGGGTTATTCAATTGTTGATCTGATGAATCAAGAACGGTATTTTAATATATGATTTTTGAATCATGCATAGAGAATAGCTCTTTATTGTTGAGCATGTATCTTTTTAAGGTATATCTATGCTACAACACTTTACAATACCCTTAACATTTACTTTAGTATCTGTCATCTCTTATTGTTAGAGCATTTAGTAACCGTTGCTATCATTATGCTAATACTATTATTATGTATGCTTTGTTGTGCCAGAAGGGTTACAAGTGCCCATAGAGATTAAGGTGTCCTTGTTGATGGGTAGGTATGTTTGTGCTGTGCAACAACATGGACAAGCTATGATAATTGAAGTGCATCTCGGCTATCTAGATGCTGAGGTTCACCAGATGTGATAAGCATTGTACAAGATAAATTGCTATGGCATTCAGAACTTAGTAAAAATAGAATAACTCTTGTCCATCAATAAATCTTTAGTTTTTGTGTCTGCTCTTATTCAAATAAGTCTTTTCTTGGTTTTGTGATATCAAGCATTTTTCATAAGCTACAAAGTATAGCCCTTTTATTCTTTGTGCTTAACAGCTCTGCTGACCTGACAAGCATTTTGAGTAACCTTTGCAAGTCGTGAAATCTGAATTTGCAAAATATCATTGACGCTCAAGTTTTATAATTACTGAATTCGCGCATTTCAAGAAGCTAAGAATGATCTGAACCTCAGATTTAGAATAAAAGCATTGATAAGTTAGAGAATGAGATCCGTACAATGCAGAACAACAGGGACATTAGACAGAACTATAATTTACTTACTTCTTTGGCAGCACGACATACTACGACTTATTTTTGGTCACATTCTGTCCAAATTTAGCCATTTTGAAGCACGAATAACTGATGCTACAAAGCGTTTTGGGCGCTTGGAATATGGCTAAACGACTCCTCTTGTCCATGCGTTACTTACTGATGCTTTATCTCATTTTTTTTGGGTCATTGCAAATTCATAGAAATTCTCTTTTTTTTTATGAGTATTAGCAAGGGAAACTTCTTGAAAATCAAACGATCGCGTTTTTCACCCCAAGAATAAAGACTTTTTCTATGATACAAATAAGATCAAATTGATCATAAAGACTGGATGCAGCACTTGAAACTCTTTCTATGGAATTTTCATATGTGAAATTTCGACTTTTTGGCAAAAAAACATGTTTTCATATATTTGCAAATTGCTCATTACTTTCGGTCTGAAAGCTGAATGTAATCAGTACCATTCGGTGCAGCTTCGTTAGTCCTTTAAACTTATATTAGAAAGTTGGATGTGATAACAAGAGTTTTCATAGTCAAATTTGGCAAAAACACTTAAAAGTTGTCAGATCAAGACAAGTTTGAACACAAAAATACCTACTACACAAATTCAAATTAAATTGCCGCAATTAGAGCTGCCGTAATTAGAGCTGCCACGACAAAAACTGAGAACAAATCTACTGGCCGTGACGTCGAATAGGGCGCTCTCTCATTATTCTTTCATACCCCTCGTTTTTTCTCCTTTTTGCAAAACGCGTTTTAGTATCAAACCATGGTGGATTTGGAGATCGTTTGATTGATAATAACACTCTAGCTTCCGACAACTCTGTCTTGTACTGTTAAGAGTACTTGATACTGCTTCTTTGAAGTGGAATATGTTACGTACCATTCGATAACGAGCACTGGAAGGCATAGAATTAACACTAATTCAGTTTGTTTATTAGGTTTTAATAATTTCTTGCTTGTTTGAGTGAGTGCTGCTGCCAGTCCTTCTCTGTCTTCTCTGCTGCCTGCTTCTTTGGTTTATCATGTCTAGTGATTGCTTCTTTGGCTTTTGTCTGGTCTCTGCTGGTGGCGTTCGTTTCTCGGTTTGTCTATGGTACTGGTGTTGCTGCTGCTGTTGCTAATATGGTCTCTCCTGGTCTACTGTCTTTGGTGCATGCTCGTTCTCTGGTCTATATTTAGTGATTGTATATCCTCTGGTCGTTCTGTGATGGAGATAAGTGGTAAATAGCTTCTTTGGTCTTTGTCTGGTCTCTGCTGATGGCGCTTGTTTTTTAGTTTGTCTATGGTGCTGGTGTTGCTGCTGCTGCTGCTGCTAAAATGGTCTCTCCCGGTCTACTGTATTTGTTGTATGCTTGTTCTATGGTCTATCTCCGGTGATTGCCTATACTCCTCTGGTCTATCTGTGGCTATAGTAA